CGCTTTGCAGCTGGATGAAATGACAGATGTGAGTGGAGAAGCGCAGCTCCTGTCCTTCGTGCGTTACAAAGATGCGTCGGACATAAACTATGGGGGTTATTCCCTATCTTTATTCAAGAGCATGGTATTTAAATTTGAGAGCATACTTTATGTATTTATTTCCCTCAAACCCTGTCCTCGCACTCAAATAGTGCCTGCTTGCACTTAGATTTGCTCTGCTTCTGCTCAAACTGTACGCGTGCACTCACATATATTGCTGTTTACAGATTTGTTCTGCTCTCAGATTTATTCTGTGCGCGCTCGAAACTTTTGTGCAACAATCCTGTCAAAATCCCAAGGCCAGGTGTCCTTGCGGGTGCGTTCGCTTTACTTATTACAGCGTCCCGTAAGGGCGGTTACTCTTTGGTTTATAAACTCCCGCCCTCCACTTTATAACATAGCATGTACTGCACTTCTTTGATTTACAATTACCTTACATAATAGCTACGTTCAGTGGCGGACTGGGACTAAAAATCAGCCCGGGAATAAAATATGTGCCTTCTGCACATAGTGCGAGGTGGTTGCTATGCAACAACAATAACAGATAGCGAATGTCGTCATTTAGGTGCTTTTTTTTCTGGAGATAGGCACTTCTCAATCCAGTCACTCCTCCATAGTAAGCCCACCCCGGAGGTCGAAGTTAACCTTAAATGTTTCCATCTTAAGCTTAGTTAGTTAGTTAGTTTACTATATAAAGTTTAGTTTAGGATTTTATAACGGTTCTCAGACGCGGAGGGATACTGATTTGTGAAAAGTAACAACAACTATTCCCTGGATATAGGCCTACGCTCATTATATCACGGCTAAGAAACATCAGATTGCTTGATTGGACTTGTCCGTTTTATAAACATATACTAACTGTACTAAAAGGCTCAGGGGGTACACAAGACAAAAAAGGTTGGGAACCACTGCCTTAGAGGGCCGTGTGGAGTGCGCACGAATCCCCGTGGGGCAGGCTCTCCCCGCCTGTCCGTATGCATGTGCAATGCACTCGCAGAGCCAGCCTGCCAGGCATTTCTTGGACAGAGCTTTCCCGATCACCCCGCCCCCAGGAACAGCTGTTCGGTGCGTCGAAGGGCAGCCGTGCGCTCCACATAACATGATGCCGACAAATCCCTCATGGCCGGACGAGATGGCTGCTGCATACACTTTCACTGTGGAATGCGCAAGCCCTCTGTCCACCAGTAACTGTAAGAAGGATAAAATAGAGCCCAACTCACAAGATAGGGGCTCTATTCTCCGCTCCTCACACCATCGCTGGAATCCCAGCCACTTTGGCCTGTAACAGGCTGTGGTGGATCCAGCTCTAGCTGCCTGGATAGACTGAATAACACTATCAGACAAACCACCCTGTCTCAGCCAGTCCCTCTCAGGAGCCAAGCCTGAAGAGGACGACCGAGAGTGGGTAACGCCCCGATTGCACCTGCTTCTTAATCGCCCCCCAGAACTGGGGAAGCGCCCAGGGCTGGCCCACCTTCATCCGTGTCATCTCTGAGTACCACGGCGCCCCGGCGCGGTCCGGAGCCACTAGGATGACTGACAGACGTTCTCGCCTCACTCTCCCCAGGAGAGGGAGAATGAGACGCAGCGGTGGAAAGGCGTAGAGCAGCTTCCTTGGCCATGGCTCGTGTGCAAACTCGTCCACCCCCAAGGGCGGGTCGTCCCTCAGGGCCATGGAGAACCACAGGGCACAGTGGCTGTTGCGCCGGCATGAAATGCCGGAGGACTAACACTACCGCCCGTAGCTCTAGGAAGTTGCTGTGTCGAGACTCTGTTAGAGCCCAGCGCCCACCTATAGCCCTCTTCAGGCAGGTCCCTCCCCTTCCTGTTCTGGATGTGTCCGTGAACACTGTGATGTAGGAGGTCACCCGTCCCAGTGGAGACCCCTCCGGAAGTGATCCGGGGACCCCCAAAACCGGAGGTTGCCCTCCACTGACGGGGGGGGGGGGCATTTATGCCTCTTGGGATCCAAACGCAGGCTGGAGAACCACCTCTGCAGGCGGTGCATATGCAGTAACCCCAGCGGGACCACAATGTGAGCAGCCGCCATGAGACTCAAAGTCTGCATGACAGTTAAAGCTGTCACTGTCGCCCCCTGTCGCAGCCTGTGAAACGCCCGGAGAAGGGACGCACTTCTGCTCTCTGACAGGGTGGCGCTGATAGTTACCTGCATTTTGCTAATAGATAAGGGACAAACTCCACAGTTGTGATTTTGTGCAAACAATGAATTCCAATTTGTATTTAAAAGTAAGAAAGTAAGAATCAACTGGATATTTTCCAAAAGCGTCTACATCTGTAGCAATATCACAATTAGGTTTTGGTTTTTGGAATGGTTTTGGGCTCTGTAAAGGCACAATAGTACCAAAGCTGACCACCTCACTGTGACTTCAAGCTGCACTTAGTCACTGATTCCCTGTACAATTGTCACTTTCATATTTCTATTTGTATTCAATTTAAACAAAAGAGATACAACATTACAAATACAACACCTTTTTCACCTTGGTTGATAAGTTTAAAAATGACCGACTATATTCCCCTGCTTCCAGTACTAAGCTTATGCTAGGCTAACCAATCCTGAATCAAAATCTATACTTCCCACCATTTCCTCAAAAAAGTGGAGCTAATCCTAACCTGTCCTCCCAAACAGAATCTTATATCTGAAACATATGGGTCAGGGAACAGGAAATTGAAAAAAGAAGAGCTGTATCTGGAAATGCAGATACATCGCAAGGCATTTGTACGGAGCCAGTGATGAACTTCAATCTTTAGTACAGATCATATATTGTTGGCTCTGAGTATACAGACATGTTCAAAGAAGAGTAGTATGTGATACAGGTGGGATTAGTGCAGACAACAGAGAGAGGGTGAATGATGAGAAGTGTTTCACTGTTAACATGCTTTGGGTTCTAGACTGCTTCTAATCGCCAACAAAGATTAAAGGCTGAACCTCGGCATGGAACATAATCTGACTAGCAGCTCAAACACAGAACTGACATGAAATCCTTTGTCATTTGGGTCAGATGCTTAACATTAAAGGAGCAGGACCGTCACCACCAGAATCCAGGTCAGTGAGTGAGCAGACAACACAATGGCAGCAGCAGGCAGATGTTTTCAGTGAAAAAGCTCTAGAAAGCCATCATACACTGGCTGGTCAGCAGCAAACAGAATATAGACACAGTTTAAGAGTAGTTCAGAACATAGAGGAGCATTTAACCCTAACCCCAAGAGACAGAGAGGTACCGCAGAAGGTGGTGGAGACCAAACAAAGCTAGAAGAGAATGAGTATTGTACTACAGGTGGTCAGAAACATGACTCCAAATACATGTTAATGCAGCATTTTGGCATAATCAATACCTGACTCGGATAGGCATCAGAGGTGGGAGAAGTACTAATAAAACTACCAGAGTATAGGAATACTCTGTTCAATTGTAAAGGTCCTTCAATCAAAATGTTACTCAAGTAAAAGTACAAAAGGCGGTGGTGGCGAAGTCGATAGGGACTTGGCTTGGCAACTGGAAGGTCACCAGTTCAAGTCCCGTCAAGACCAAGTGCTACCGAGGTGTCCCTGAGCAAGGCACTGTTCCCCACACTGCTCCCCGGGCGCTGTTCAAAATGGCAGTACACTTCTCCTAACACTAGGATCAGTCAAATGCAGAGAAACAATTTCCACACGAGGGATTAATAAAAGTCCATCTTATCTTATTTTAAAAGTATTAGCATCAAAATATTCTTAAAGTACCAAAAGTAGTCGTTGTGCAGATTGGTCCATTTCAGAATAATATATATGATATGTTTTATAATGATTGATCATGAAAGTCTTCTCAAAGCTGGTAAAGGGTTGGAACTAAAGTCTGATTTAACACTTGATTATATTTCACATCATTCATCCAAATCTGTAAAGTAACTAAAAGTATAAAACATTTAAATACTCGTGTATAGTACAAGTACCTTAAAATTGTACGAAGTACAGTACGTGAGTAAATGTACTTCGTTACTTTCCATCTCTGATAAGCAAGTCATTTTTCATTATCTTCAAAATAATCTGGGCTGCTCAGAAATAACAACTTCCTATTAAACCAACTTGATGAAGTCCAATGTTCTATCTTATTTTGCTCTGGTTTGGTCTCCACCAACTATTTGTGTTATACAAACACACAACCTCACAAACACTTCCAGTCCAAAAATGTTGCCATCAAAGGGCCAGAAATGTTTTGAATGGTGACAAAGCATTGCTGGTTGCAGCTAACGACCATGATAATATAAATGAACTCATCATATGAAATATTTGGTGTTACTGATGACTCGTTTTGGCAGTGTTTATTTTAACGTTATGCGATCACAGTAGTGCAGGTACACTGTTCCACTTGTCACATGCACACTGCGGACTGTACATTTCCCCTCTGTGGGACGAAAGAAGGTTTCAAGGTTTCAAAGGCTGCCAGATGCAACAGTGTAGATATGGCATGAACATCTTAAGTCCCAGGCTCCTCAGAATAAAGGTATTCTGATATGTGCACATTACCCACTGTTTATCACAGTTGAAACATTAGAGATCTTTGGAAGCACCAGAGTTCTTCTAGATATAGTGACATGTTTAATTCAAAAATGTTTATTTAAAAAATGTTTGCACCTGGCCATCAAGTAGAAAAAGTTATTAGAGTCCAAAAGAGAAAAATATGTAAAAACAGCTGTAAAAATAAACGATTCAATTCACAGGAAAGATATAGAAGCAATCCAGGCAATATTTCTTAAACGTATTTTTATCCGCCCACCCCCCTTAGCCTTTGCTATGGTCAAAGTCATCGTGTTGTTTTTGTCATAACACTAAAGCATGTTCTACTACTTCAGTGATTATGTGATAAGCATGGAGTAAAGTACAGTGTCTGTTTGTGTACATGCATGCACACAGAGGACCGTAGGCCTGTGTGCATGAGTGTGTGTGTGTGTGTGTCAGCGTGATGAGTGAGCAGGCGCTGGTCCACATGCCTCAGCGGACCACCCTGCACCGGGCAGCCATGGTGGGGAACAGAGACTCTGTGGCTGCTCTGATCCAGGGGGGCTGTGCTCTGGACCTGCAGGACAAAGTGAGTCACAACTCTTTCACACGACTACAGGAACATAATTTGATATACTTTCAATATGTGTGGTTTATTAAAGGATGATACTCGGTGATAACACTGTGTCCTGTGTCTGTTTGAGGACGGCAACACGGCGCTGCATGAGGTGTCCTGGCATGGTTTCTCTCACTGCGTTAAACTGCTGGTCAAGGCAGGAGCTGACGTCAACATCAGGAACAAGGTAAGACAAAAACAGAACATTTGCAACAACAAGGTCTACCTATTTTCAGTCGTTGTTTCCAAAACGTTCATCCTCATCTTGTAGCCTTCCACAGAGTTGCTTGACAATATGGCAAGACATTTATAAAGAGGCAGCCCACTATTCGGTTTTACAGTATAGGGGAGTATATAATGGAGTAAGATGAGCCAATGTGTACTCCTGTTGTCCTCTAGGCAAGGAAAATGAGATAGAAGTCAAATCACAGCAACAACCTTTACTTCAGGATGTCTTCTGTCAATCCAAATGAAAATAATGCAGCTTTAAAAAAGGCCATGAAAATATGACTTCTCAAAGAAAAGTGGTCTGATGGCTTGACTTGCCCCATCTAATGGAACAGGTCAGCCAGTTTAACCCATGTTAGCAAATATCTTAGTGTCCAGTTGCAAAACATACAATATAAAACTTCATGTCATTCCAACCCTAACCCTGTTAACTAAAAAGGTTCTATTTACTAAAAATGTGGGTTGTATGCATTATATTGTGTAAAGAATGGCTCTGTGGACCGAAGAACCTGGCACAAGGGATCACAATCCCTATCCTGGACCTTTCGATAACATCTGAATATCTGCCTGTGTTTCCGTGTTGTGTATTTGCTCTGTAGTAAGGGTTTTGTGTTGATGCAGGCAGGACATACAGCCCTCCACCTGTCCTGTCAGAACGCACACGCTCAGACCACCCGCCTGCTGCTGCTCGGGGGATCCACACCAGACACCAAGAACAATGTGAGTCCTGACCCTGAGCCAGACACCAAGAACAATGTGAGTCCTGACCCTAACCCAGACACCAAGAACAATGTGAGTCCTGACCCTAACCCAGACACCAAGAACAATGTGAGTCCTGACCCTGACTCAGACACCAAGAACAATGTGAGTCCTGACCCAGACACCAAGAACAATGTGAGTCCTGACCCTAACCCAGACACCAAGAACAATGTGAGTCCTGACCCTGACTCAGACACCAAGAACAATGTGAGTCCTGACCCTGACCCAGACACCAAGAACAATGTGAGTCCTGACCCTGACTCAGACACCAAGAACAATGTGAGTCCTGACCCTGACCCAGACACCAAGAACAATGTGAGTCCTGACCCTGACTCAGACACCAAGAACAATGTGAGTCCTGACCCAGACACCAAGAACAATGTGAGTCCTGACCCTGACCCAGACACCAAGAACAATGTGAGTCCTGACCCTGACTCAGACACCAAGAACAATGTGAGTCCTGACCCTGACCCAGACACCAAGAACAATGTGAGTCCTGACCCTGACCCAGACACCAAGAACAATGTGAGTCCTGACCCTGACCCAGACACCAAGAACAATGTGAGTCCTGACCCTAACCCAGACACCAAGAACAATGTGAGTCCTGACCCTGACCCAGACACCAAGAACAATGTGAGTCCTGACCCTGACCCAGACACCAAGAACAATGTGAGTCCTGACCCCGACCCAGACACCAAGAACAATGTGAGTCCTGACCCAGACACCAAGAACAATGTGAGTCCTGACCCTGACCCAGACACCAAGAACAATGTGAGTCCTGACCCTGACTCAGACACCAAGAACAATGTGAGTCCTGACCCTGACTCAGACACCAAGAACAATGTGAGTCCTGACCCTGACCCAGACACCAAGAACAATGTGAGTCCTGACCCTGACTCAGACACCAAGAACAATGTGAGTCCTGACCCAGACACCAAGAACAATGTGAGTCCTGACCCTGACCCAGACACCAAGAACAATGTGAGTCCTGACCCTGACTCAGACACCAAGAACAATGTGAGTCCTGACCCTGACCCAGACACCAAGAACAATGTGAGTCCTGACCCTGACCCAGACACCAAGAACAATGTGAGTCCTGACCCTGACCCAGACACCAAGAACAATGTGAGTCCTGACCCTAACCCAGACACCAAGAACAATGTGAGTCCTGACCCTGACCCAGACACCAAGAACAATGTGAGTCCTGACCCAGACACCAAGAACAATGTGAGTCCTGACCCCGACCCAGACACCAAGAACAATGTGAGTCCTGACCCTAACCCAGACACCAAGAACAATGTGAGTCCTGACCCTGACTCAGACACCAAGAACAATGTGAGTCCTGACCCTGACCCAGACACCAAGAACAATGTGAGTCCTGACCCTGACTCAGACACCAAGAACAATGTGAGTCCTGACCCAGACACCAAGAACAATGTGAGTCCTGACCCTGACCCAGACACCAAGAACAATGTGAGTCCTGACCCTGACCCAGACACCAAGAACAATGTGAGTCCTGACCCTGACCCAGACACCAAGAACAATGTGAGTCCTGACCCTGACTCAGACACCAAGAACAATGTGAGTCCTGACCCTGACCCAGACACCAAGAACAATGTGAGTCCTGACCCTGACCCAGACACCAAGAACAATGTGAGTCCTGACCCTGACCCAGACACCAAGAACAATGTGAGTCCTGACCCTGACCCAGACACCAAGAACAATGTGAGTCCTGACCCTGACCCAGACACCAAGAACAATGTGAGGCCTGACCCTGACCCAGACACCAAGAACAATGTGAGTCCTGACCCTAACCCAGACACCAAGAACAATGTGAGTCCTGACCCTGACCCAGACACCAAGAACAATGTGAGTCCTGACCCTGACACCAAATATCACTCCAAAAAATGGTCATAAATCTGTCTGCCCAAAATGTATACGAGTTAAGACTCTCACAGTGCTCTCTGGTATGGAAGGTCGAGGAGATAAAGTCAAGATACAGATTGTGTTTATTGGGATTTGTGGAGTCATCAAAATGACTCATCTTTAGGGAAAGACGTTTATTGCTTGCTCTGTTTAGAATAACTATGGACAGAGAATACGCTTGTATTTTTCATTTGCTGTTTTTCCTTTGCCCTTGAATTAAAGGCTTATCAGATTGGTCCCCATCTTCCTTGTTTCAAGTCAATTCCCCAAATAACTTATATTACAGTCACTCTGACCCTATTGAGCTCTACTAATGTGGGCTGTTAAATAGTTAGCAATCATTTCCCAAAGCACTTGTTGTATCATGATCAAACATACTAAACATCTGTTTGGGTGCAGGCGGGGGACACCTGTCTGCATGTGGCTGCTCGCTACAACAACCTGACGCTGGCTAAAACCCTGCTGAGCTCCCTGTGCTCTGTGACACAGAGAAACCAGGTACAGCATGCCAGTGTTAACAATAATATGTTTAAATATGTTTCTTTATGAGAGTGTGTGATTTCAGTCATGCTTTGGTTTTATTTAATTGGCTTGTGTATTCACTAGTGGAAGAGGGTGTGTGTGTGTCAACACATTTTATGTAGTGGTCAAGGTAGAATTAATTTAACTATTTTATACTGTATTATGAACATGTTGTGCCTCTTTTAAATAAGTAGTTTGTAATATTTTGAGAAAATTACCTCTTATTTTAGAAAATGAATACACATTTTATTTTTAGGAATCAATAATAGACATAAACTATTTGATAAGATACATTTTGTAAAAGGTTTTTTACATTTAAATAATGTTGTCAAAAGGGCAATATGCAAGTAGCATAACATTTAAATATTTCAGTAAGACGTAAATATGATCTCACAATGGAGTAAATGTTTTCTTTCACCACTACATTAGCCTAGTTTTGAGTTAAGTTGTTTTATTTAGATCAATTGTTGAATTGAATGTGAGCTTACTCTGTCTGTCTGTCTGTCTGTCTGTCTGTCTGTCTGTCTGTCTGTCTGTCTGTCTGTCTGTCTGTCTGTCTGTCTGTCTGTCTGTCTGTCTGTCTGTCTGTCTGTCTGTCTGTCTGTCTGTCTGTCTGTCTGTCTGCAGGCGGGGGACACAGCTCTCCATGTAGTTGCTGCTCTGAACCATAAGAAGATGGTGCAGCTCTTACTGGAGGCAGGGACTGATGGGAAAGTGAGGAACAACGTGAGTTCTATTTACAAGCTGAATGTTTCAGATAGGACTCCCTAACTCCAATGGCTCTGTGTGAGGTGGAGAATGCACGACCAAGAGGAAACAGGCAGGCAGCTAGCCAGGCACGGAAATACATTTATGGTTTCAGAATAAACCAGACACCAATCTCCACATAGCTATATAGTGACATCAGGAGGAGATCTTGGAATATAGGTTGAATGTAACAATCCTGTTTGCTCTGGGTCAAGTGAAAGGTTTTCTAGTGTTCATAATTTACTGTTCACTTCCAGTCAGGTAAAACAGCCCTGGATAAGGCCAGAGATAACAACCACAAAGATGTGGCCCACCTCCTGGCCAGAGCTCCTCAGGTATGTACAGTATCTGCATTATAAAATGAGTTCAAATACTCACTATACTAAAACATTAGTGTGTACAGTGTTGGGAATCACAATAGAGTGGGTTGATTGATTTTTTAAAGCTGACCTGGAAGTTTTCCATTGGATTTTGGAATATTGCAAAATAAGAAAAGAAGATCTTTCCCGCAACACTACTGTAGAAAATGGTATAGAAATATGATCGTCACAGTTTTCAAAAGCATAAGCAAACATCTTGTGTCTTCTTATGCATGTTTTTAGCAATATAAAATATAATAAGGTGATGTAACCATAGCAGACTATCAAGCACAAGTACGGGCACAAGCAAAAATAGGACTCAAGAGCACAACCAGGCAATAAGGTCTTTAGTCAAGCGTTTAATCCAAAAGGTAAAAATAAAACAGGCAATGATCAAAAAATGTACTGACTTGAAGTAACGAAAAACAACCAACTAAGTTGGTGGAAAACTACTAGAGAAGCAACAAAAAAACAACCAACTAGGTTGGTACAAATGCTAAGCAGCTTGAACAATAGCTTACGTCAGAAGAGAACATGGAGCACCTTCTGCTATACAGACAAGACGAACTGGCACTGACCAAGGAAACAGCACAGACTAAATACACAGGTTAGGAGTGATCATTAGGGACAGCTGAGGCTCATTGAGATCAGGCAGGTGATTAACAGGGAGCGAAAATACACAGGTGAGGGAGTGAGGCGATCAGCCAGGGCCAGGATGTGACAGTACCCCCCCCCCTCAACGACCGGCACCGGACGGTCCAGGCTCGTTTGGATGATGCCTGTGGAAATCCCGGATGAGGTCTGGGTCGACAATGTTCTTTGAAGATACCCATTCCTTCTCCTCAAGACCATAGCCCTCCCAATCCACCAGATACTGGCGTCCACGACCCCGCCAGCGAGTCGCCAAGAGCCGCTTGACAGAATAAACTGGCCCTCCATCGATGAACCGGGGGGGCGGTGGGGGTCTGGAGGCAGGAACCAGAGGGCTCTCTTTGACCGGCTTGATCCGAGCCACATGGAACGTTGGGTGTGACCTCATGGACCTGGGAAGCTTGAGTCTCACAGCAACAGGATTAATAATCTTTGAGACAGGGAAGGGACCAACAAAGCGAGGCGCCAACTTACGGGACTCGACTCGAAGAGGAAGATCCTGAGTGGAGAGCCATACTCTCTGGCCGACACGATAGGTGGGAGCAGGGAGCCGTCGGCGGTCTGCTGCCCTCTTGTACCGAGCAGACGTACTGTCTAGCCTTGTCTAGCCCCAGTCCAGATGCGACGGCACCTCCGAATCAGTGCCAAGGCAGAAGGAACCCTGACCTCTCCCTCCAGGGACGGAAACAGGGGCGGTTGGTAGCCATAAGCACACTGAAATGGGGAAAGACCAGTAGAAGAGCAAGGCAATGTGTTGTGCGCATACTCAACCCAGATAAGATTCTTACTCCAAGTAGTGGGGTTCTGAGACACGAGACAGCGCAGACCGGTCTCTAACTCCTGGTTGAGCCGCTCGGTCTGTCCGTTGGACTGAGGGTGATGGCCGGAGGAGAGGCTAACGGTGGCACCCAGGAGAGCGCAGAACTCCTTCCAAAACTTGGAGACGAACTGGGCACCCCGATCCGACACAACATCTTTAGGGAAGCCATGTAACCGGAAAACATTGGACAGGACAACCTCTGCCGTTTCCTTGGCAGAGGGTAACTTGGGCAGAGGAACAAAATGCACCAACTTTGAGAATCTGTCGACAATGGTCAAAATGGTTGTGTTACCTTGGGACAGGAGAAGACCCGTTACAAAGTCCAGAGAGACGTCCGACCAAGGGCGAGTAGGTACAGGAAGGGGACGTAGGAGACCAGGGGAAGGCCGACGAGAAACTTTGTTCCGAGCACACACCGGGCTATCAGCAACATACTCCCCCACCTCACTCTCCATCTTGGGCCACCAGAAGCGTTGCTTGACCACAAACATGGTCCGTTTGATCCCCGGATGGCAGGAGAGAGGGGACGCATGAGCCCAGTGGATGACCTGAGAGCGAAGAGGAGAGGACACAAACAACCTGTTCTGAGGGCAACCATTCGGCCCTGGGTTACCAACATTTGCTTCTCTGACCCTCACCTCTCCCGACCAGAGCGGTTTTCTGGGGATTCCGGTGATTGTCGGGCTTTCCTGGCTCAGTGCGGCCTCCACTTTGAACTCAAGGCTGCATGCTACCCATCTGAGCGCTCAAGGGTGGCATACATTGTCTCCCACCTTTCTGGCCGAGCTGAGGCTTGGGCAACGACAGAGTGGGTGAGAAGCTCTCCTGTTTGTGACTCCCTCGATCTCTTCTCTGAGACCTTCACCAAGATCTTCCAGCACATCCCACCAGGACGGGAGGCAGCCAGAGCACTCGTTGGATTGCGCCAGGGTAAGCAGAGGGTTTCTGACTATGCTATAAAGTTCCGTACCCTGGCAGCGGACAGTGACTGGAACCAATCAGCATTGTTTGATGCTTTCCTTTATGGATTGTCCGGTACATTAAAGGATCAGTTAGCTCCCCTTGAGCTTCCAGCTGATCTGGACTCCCTAATTTCATTGACTATTAAGATTGACAAGCGACTGATAGAGAGGGAGCGAGAGAAAGACACTGCGATTCCCTATTTCTCCCACAAGAGGCAGTCTTCGCCCAGCTCTTCGTCCTCATGGAATCACCCCAGGCCCTGGCTTCCGTCTACTGGGCCTCTGTCGCCCCCTGCTGTTCCGGAGGAGCCCATGCAGCTCGGCAGGACCAAGCTGACTCCCGAGGAGCGACAGCGCCGCCTGCGGGAGGGCAGGTGCTTCTACTGTGGTGAACGGGGACACTCGCCAACTGTCGCCTACTAAAAGATCTGGCTCGCCAGTAAAGAAGAGGGCACTGGTGAGCCGCACTACACTTAATGTTAGTCCCTCACGTTGTCTCCCAAATGTCACTCTGTCTTCGTCTTCTGTGGTTCTTAGGCATCCTGTTTTGGTAGACTCTGGCTCAGATGCCAGTTTTATAGACTTTGAGTTGGCTAAGAAACTGAACCTTGAGACCTTTCCCCTTCCAAGACCAATGGAAGCAAGTGCCTTGGATGGCCGTCTTCTCTGTAGGGTAACTCACCACACACAACCTCTTCAGCTAAGTTTCCAGGACGGTCACACTAAGCTTCTCGTCTTTCATGTTTTTCGGTCCCCGGAACACCCAATCATTTTGGGGTACCCCTGGCTTACCCTACACAACCCCCACATAGACTGGTCCACTGGCAAGATTATTGCTTGGTGTAAGGGATTTTGAAGTACCTGTTTTCTGTCCAAATGTTCCCTGACTGCTCCACCAGCTGTCCCTGTAATTCAAGACATGTCAGATCCTGATTACCCTGACATTTCCAAGGTCCCTCAGTGTTACCATGACCTTAAGGAGGTTTTTAACAAGGCCAGAGCCATCTCGCTGCCCCCTCATCGTGTGTACGATTGTGCTATAGACTTGTTACCAGGCTCTTCACCACCCAGGGGTCGTCTTTATTCCCTATCTGCTCCAGAGACACGGGCGATGAAGGAATATGTGGAGTCTTCACTTTCCGCTGGATTAATTAGACCTTCTTCCTCTCCCGCTGGAGCCGGATTTTTCTTTGTGGCAAAGAAGGACAAGTCACTTCGCCCCTGCATTGACTATCGAGGTTTGAACGACATTACTATCAAGCACAAGTACGGGCACGAGCAAAAATAGGACTCAAGAGCACAACCAGGCAATAAGGTCTTTAGTCAAGCGTTTAATCCAAAAGGTAAAATAAAACAGGCAATGATCAAAAAATGTACTGACTTGAAGTAACGAAAAACAACCAACTAAGTTGGTGGAAAACTACTAGAGAAGCAACAAAAAAACAACCAACTAGGTTGGTACAAATGCTAAGCAGCTAGAACAATAGCTTACATGTTCCATGTTCCATGCTCCATGTTTCTCAGAAGAGAAACATGGAGCACCTTCTGCTATACAGACAAGACGAACTGGCACTGACCAAGGAAACAGCACAGACTAAATACACAGGTGAGGAGTGATCATTAGGGACAGCTGAGGCTCATTGAGACCAGGCAGGTGATTAACAGGGAGCGAAAATACACAGGTGAGAGAGTGAGGCGATCAGCCAGGGCCAGGATGTGACACAGACTGTGTACTGTCCTCAGGTACATCGCTTCATGCGAGGAAGAACAATCAGGAAACGGAGAGAAAGACTGACCGCTGAGCGCAGGAGCCAATCATTCACCAGAGAAGAAACTCTTCCAAACAAAGTAAAAAAAACAGAGAAACGACTGTTCTTAATAGCATCTGCAGGACTCCACTCCAATTGAGTTTGTCACGTGCCTTTGTTTGTCCTGAGCAGGACAGCAGTTCTCTGGAGGACTCCCCCAGCAGTGACCAAACAGAGAGCAGGACTGCCCTCAGGGGGGGGTCCTGCCAGCAGCAGAAGCTGCAGAAGTACTACAACAAGACCTTCGCCCCCACCAACAGCCCCCCAAGCCAGAGGAAGAGGAGAGGCAAGGAGCAGGTGGGTCAGACAGACCTTCAGGTGATGGAGTTCTCAGATCAAGACAGGATCCTGGTTTAGGTTTTCTGTTTCTCAGTTCATTTTGTATGAACACTCTCTGTCTGGTTTAACTTCCTATCTTTGCGTTTTCCCACCTGTGTGTCATCAATCTGCTGCCCTGGTGTTTTTGCCCCCCCTCTTTAGCTGTGTCTTGTCAGTGTAATGAGTCTGTGTGTGCATATATTCCTGTATGTCCGAGTCTGTTGTCAAGCTTCCTGTCCGGGTTTCTCTGGGGTGGTTCTTACTCATTAATGTTTCCTTTAGTTTTTCCCCTGGATCATCCCTAGTGTTCTCTCATGGATTTGCTCCCATGTTCCTCGTTCGTTCGTTTTCTGTATAGTGTGTATAACTGTGTGTGTATTTGCATGTGTGCACCCACCTGTATACTGTGTGTGTATTAAACAAAAAAATAAAAGCCAGAGTGAAAACTGAATTTCCCCCTAGGGCAGTGTTTCTCAAACTTTTTCATACCAAAGACCAATTAACCAATAAAAAAACACTTGCGGACCACCTAAATCCACAAATATCCCAAAACACATCGTTTTTCTAGAACAGATAAAAAATCGCCTGAAAATGGTACAAACAAGTGGCAACATGTGTGACGAAGGTGTTGCGCTGGGCTATATCATTGCGGAGATATTCCAGCGAGAGTGCGGAAAACTTAAATGTAATTATTTATTTAAAATGTGAAATTTTACCAATATACTCACGGACCACTAGGTGGCGCTCACGGACCACAAGTGGTCCCCGGACCACACTTTGAGAAGCACTGCCCTAGGGGGATCAATAAATCTTCTTCTTCTTCTTCTTCTTCTTCTTCTAATTCTTCTTCTTCCTCTATCCTGGTGTTCCTAAACACAAGGGTTTGCATATAGACATTAGATACGTAGGCGGAGGTAGTGAAATGAATATGTGTGTAGACAATGGTTAAATCAGATGGCTGAATAACAGACTATAGGGCTTGCAGTTTCTATTACGAAGAATAATGATATTCTATTAAATAATGCCTTCATCATAACACCACAGCTTTTTTTTCTCAAAATATTCAGACACAAATACTCTGTTATTTTGCTAAAATGCGTATAAGCTTAGAGGATGGAAGTATCTGTACTATGATACAATAAGTGCTTTGTAGTATTAAACACAGACATAATATCCGGAGTATGTATGAAAACACAAAATCATATACCAAGAAATGCAATAAATAAGTGGCTACTCTTCATTTGTAAGAATGAGCATGCCATGGGCTGATTCCATGGCTTCCTTGTTTTAGCAGTTGAAAACAGACACATTTTGTTAAAAGATAACACACAGCTGAATAAGTTTACTCTTGCATTAAACAAATGAGACTTGCACTTAGCAGAGCTTATGACCACACTTTGCAATCTTAACTAACAGTCTGGGACTTTTCCTCCTCTACAGGCTGTAAATGAAAATGAAGTGAAGAAAAGTGAGAATAACCCCAAGAAGAATCTGCTCTGGGACGAGGCTGAAGATTTTGTTCAGAATGGAAAAGTCTATCAGCTTTACACACTGTACCGTGACAAGGATGGCAACATCAAACAGGTAACTGATGACCAAACCTCAAATCAGAGTGCTGCGAGGGACCTAAACAACTGTCTAGGTAGCATAACTGGTGCTAAAACTGAACATGTTGAGCTGTGTTGAGCACATCTGCTATAAAGAGGATATTCTGCGGGATCATAACGACGGGTTACGTATTGTAACCCTAGTTATATAAGCACAGGCGGAGCCCTCTACTGGACTATATGGGTACTGCCCTTGACCTCACTATGTGAGTGTTCACCTACTGAGAAATCTATAAACGTAGCCGGCCCCGGGGCGGGCCTACCTGAATGCGCGCGCAGGCCCACAGTATATAAGGCGGTCTCGCCTCCCGACCGTCATCATACACCCTCTTCAGCGAGCAGCAGAGGACAAGCAGGGCCCCCTAGTAGAGGGCTCCGCCTCTGCTTATATAACTAGAGTTACAATATGTAACCCATCGTTATCTCTCTCACAGGCTCCGATCTCTACTGGACTCTATGGGTACAGTGGGTGGAGCCATGATGGATACACACCCTGTCGTCCAACAACCCATCACTGCCCCTGACCGGCTTTTTTTTGGTTAACAGCCACTGCACCGCAACCTCTCCTCCCTCGGTTATGACCGTGGAGGAGCCCGGGCCGCAGTTTACTTGGCTGATAGAGCACACCCAGACCCGCTTGCCTCGCGAAGGGTGTGCATGGGAAAAAATAGTGAGGACGGCTCCCCCTGCCTGCTCACTGCGCCTCATGTTTCTCGGGTCCCTAAGGAGCATGGGAAAACATAAGTGCAATATGTCCAGGGGAGGGGGTCATATATCTACTGACCCACAGCCCCCCCCCCTTCACCAGTCCTGTGTTGCCCCAGCAAGCACAGACAATGAGAATGTACGGAGCCCCCTAGGAGACGTGGAGAAGAAAGAAAAAAATTATTTAAAAAAAAAAAAAAAAAAAGATGCTTTGCGAGATATCGCAAAATTCCTTTGCGAGCTCTCGCAAAACTTTTCATTTAGCTCAATGTACTTCCTGGTCAGTTCGGCTGCTACGGCAACACAGAAACCACAACAATGGAGCGGTTCATCGATTTTACTTTGAGCTTGGCCTTAAATATAAAGATATAACATCAGTGCTTGGCAATAGGCACGGGTTTCACATAAGTGAAAGACACCTCAAGAGAACACTCAGAGCGAGGGGACATGCTGAGTTATTGACAGATTCGAATTTCGCGGATCAATAACTCATGAACATAACGTTGTAAAAATACAAACAACATGACTTTACAATCATAGCAAGGTAGACAACGAGCTACAGAGTCGTTTTTATCCGAACAGTTCAATACGCGCCGTCATCCGAGCTAAACATCAATAATTGGTCACAATCTGCAGCTTGATGAGGGAGAGAGTGCTTAGGGACCGTCTACAAACTGCAACGGGGTTTTGCGAGATCTCGCAAAGGTTTTGTGAGATCTCGCAAAACCTTTTTTTTTTTCAAATAATTATTTTTTCTTCTCCACGTCCCCTAGGGGGCTCCGTAAGAAGGAGCCCGACATGACCAAGAGATCAAACTTTATGAAGGGGCCTAGCGTGGACCAAGACGCCGCCGTGCATATGTATGAAACATTGCCCATTCCCTGGACCTGGCCATGACAATGTCCAGATAAAAGAAGACCCTCATGCCCCGGCCGTGCAGCGGCTGAAGCACTGTGGCCACACATTTGCAGAATGTGCGTGGGGATAGGGACTAGCCGAACGGTAGCCTGTTGTACTCGCAGGCTACCCCCTGGAAGGCAAAACGCAAATACTTTCTGTGCCTTGGATCAATCTCGACATGAAAGTAAGCGTCCTTCAGGTCGATGGTTGTGAACCAATCGGCTGGCTGCACCAGCTCTAATAACTGCTTTACAGTTAACATCTGGATTTTTTTGCAGGCGATGAGCCGATTTAGGCTGCGGAGATCTAGGAAGGGTCTGAATTCTCCTGTCTTCTTGGGAACCAGGAAGTACATAGAATAAAGCCCCCTCTCCCTGTGCTGGGGGAGCACAACAGACACCACTAGTTTTTGTAACAGGGTCTGAATCTCTGCTGAAAGAAACCTTTCTGGGATGGTAGATTTCTCTCTCTTACACCTTTGAACAGAGGAGGGATGCTGCAAAACTGAAGTGTATAACCCTGTTTCAGCGTCCTGTCCATCCACTCTGTTAATACACAGATGTGCTTCCATTCCACATAACATTGTGTTAGGGGATGAGCAACCAGCTGGGGGGCCACAGCTAAGAAGCTGGGGGGCCACAGCTAAGAAGCTGGGGGGCCACAGCTAAGAAGCTGTGGTACTCCCTAGTGGCCCACTCCACCGCAAAACTCCCCATGAAGGGAAGTTCTGCCCATGGGGGGCTGACACAGAAAGGGCCTCAGATTTTCTACTGAGGTCCCTGAACGCACCGCGGCACGCCCTCGTGGGGGGCGTGCGCTATGCCATAATGCAATTCTCACTCAAACGAAAAAATGCATTACCCGGAGTTTTTACGCTAACGGCCCGTCCACACAGCGGCGTGCGTTGAAGCTTCCAACGCTTCTGCCCATTCACTTTGAATGGGGTGACGTCACTTTTAGCCGAACTGCATTTTGGGAAGCGACGTGGAGCGTTGCTGGCGTTGCTGGCTTCAAAAGTTGAGCAATGTTCAACTTTTGACGCCTCGACGGAGGCGTCAGCCAATGAAATCCCATTTATGCAAATCTGCCAGTACAAGCGCGAGCCAATCAAACCGCGTGTATACTGGGAGAGACTACGCAGGTCATTTCCTCATATTCCAAAAAATGGAGGGAAAATTCATTATAGCGGTAGTGAATCACCCGGTGCTGTATGATCAGTCTCTGTTCATCTACCGGGATACAAACCGGAGGAACCAGGCATGGAGGGAGGTGGCAGAGTCAGTGGGTGAAACTGGTAGGTTTTCGCCTGTTTGGGGATTTTATATCCAGTTTACTTCGTTTTAACATGCTATTGCTTTGTATGTCGGGGGCGGGAGATTCATGTGATTGGTTGTTGGTCGCGTTGCTCGCAAAAAATCCCTAAACTTCAGATACGCCCACCTCCAAGCATCAACGCACGCTGCTGTGTGGACGCTCTAACGGCCCCTACACACGGCGGCGTGCGTTATCGCTTGTCTGCGGGGGGGTCTGAAACTCGACCAACAACCAATCACATGAATCTCCCGCCCCAGACACCCAAGCACGCGGTTTGATTGGCTAGAGCTTGTACTGGCATATGATTCGATTTGCTGACGCTTCCGTCGAAGCGTCAAAAGTAGAACATTGCTCTACTTTTGCAGCGAGCACGTCACCCCATTCAAAGTGAATGGGCAGAAGCGTTGAAGCGGCAACGCACGCCGCCGTGTGTAGGGGCCGTAAGTGCCGTGTGCCTCCTGACAATCACACGCCGGCCATAATGGCCCTGTATCCGCAGAGCGCTCTGATGGCACTTCCTGCGGTTTATTACCCTCGGCTGCGCATGCCCACTAGCTGTTTCTTTTACTGGAGTTACAACTGGGGCAGCGAGTGGGGAATCAGTACAGTTAACATCATGTGGAAGTGTGGAATTGTGCAAATAAATTACATTAAAATGGGATAAATGCAATCATCTTTTTTATTGAAAGTATGCCTCACAATACTTGCATTACATCCTAGGTGGAAGAGGTCGCCCTCCCCACCGGGACGCTTCCTCCCACCGCCAGTCAGCTCCGGGAGGACGGCGCACCCCACCCCGCAGCTCTCTGCTGTGGTGGGGCCGGAGCCTGCCGGGGCCGGCCAGTTCGTCCCCGCGATTGCCGGTTCTGAGCCGGGTCCGCGGGACGGGTCGCGGAGGTGGAGGCGGCAACGGGAGCCGAGGGGGCTCTATACCGTCGCCTTTCTCTTCTCCTCACCGTCGCGCTGCGCTCTCTCCCCTGCAGAGGAGCTTGAGGAAGGGCCAGTGGTAGCATACGGCTAAGCTGCAGTCTCTCTTCCTCCAGGCAGCGGAAGCGCTGGGTAACCGACGTGATCGACCCAAAGAGCCCCTCCGTGGATACGGGGGCCCCAAGGAGATCCTCGCGGTCCTTCCTGGACAGCGCGGTGAGTCCCAGCCACACGTGACGTGACACCACCGTGGCCAGGGAGGGACATGACACGGCCAGCTGCAGCGGCTACACCGTGGATCAGATTGTTCATCTGACCAATGCAGCGGTCCGAATAATCTCCCTCGTACTGAGGCGGGGGGGCGGGGGCGACCTCCTGAGGGGAAATCAAGGAGACGCCCAACACACCAAGATTATTGGCCGCTGCTGCCATCTGCGTACCGAGCCGGAATATTTTATCCAAATACTCCAGCATTTCCCGGTCACGAGGCAGCGGGGGCAGAGGTTTTTTCCCCTCCGCCCATCCAGCTGATGGGCCGCCAGGCTCTCATCAAGGGGGGTCACGCCGGGACCTACTGTGTCCGAGCGGCCCTGCACCCTCAGGATACCTGACATGCCTGCCACTGGAGCCCTCGTCCTCAGTGGCTGCCGCCACGTCGCCTCCACACACTGCCAAATGTCTGGCAGCGAGGGCGAAACGAAGGCCGGCTGCGGTAGTCGCGGGGGGAGCAGTAGCCCCACACGTCCCACCGCGATGGCCATCACCGACGGGAATTCCTGACGAGCGGACCTATGCGGCGGCTCTTCCTGGACACTGGAACCGGAAGCCCCCGACATCTGGCGGCCAAGACGTGGCAGCATGCGGCAGGCGTGACACGAGGGAGACTGGGCCAAGCCGTCCGCGGCGTGTTCAGGCCCCAGGCACTCAAAACAGAGGCGGAAGGGATCGGCACCCGCAATCAGGCCGGTGCACGAAGGACAGGGTCGGTGCTCTAGGACGGGTGAGTCCATTTTCACTGCTTCTTCTTCTTTTTCTCTTCCGTTTACTCTACTCAGTTGTTATCCTGCTCGCTGAAGAGAAAAGGATGACGGTCGGGAGGCGATGCCGCCTTATATACTGTGGGCCTGCGCTCGCACTCAGGTAGGCCCGCCCCCGGGGCCGGCTACGTTTATAGATTTCTCAGTAGGTGAACGCTTGCATAGTGAGGTCAAGGGCAGTACCCATAGAGTCCAGTAGAGGGCGGAGCCTGTGAGAGATATAACTGCTACTGAGTGTGATGCTTCTGATTGTGCCCACTGTCTTCAGACACAGGCCAGTGGGTGCCACTGTAAGCCCCTGCTGGAGAAGCTGGAGGGCCAGCTGACAGAAACTCAGGAGGAGATGAGGCTGCACATCCTCAACGTCCAGGAGCAGGTCAACCGGAGACTCAGCAAGATGGACCACAGGAACAGACACCAGGTCAGCCTCTGAGTACACATCAGGACTTCTATTTCACTAGCAAGGACCAGCAAAAACAATATTTGTTTAGGGATGCTGTCTGTCAGGCCGGTCTGGAGAACAGACTGAAGTCCAAGCAGAGGAAGACTCAGAGAGGTTTCTACTTGAAGCCTCCTAACTGTACCTAGAATGAGCACGACATGTTTAAAGAGAATCAGATATTAAAGAGATTAAAGAGAAAGAGATAGGGGAAGACAGGAAGAAAAGGGGGAAGGAATGTAGTGATGAAGAGGTGGAATTAATATAGGAAGGGAGGGATTAAGAGTCAAAGGCATATGAAGGGAAGGAGTAATAATGGATGAAGGGATGTCATTGGGGAGGGATCAAGGTTCAAAGGAAGGAATGAACGGACAAAGGATGCAGGCATGGAGAGATGGATTGATGAAGGGATGTAGGGAGAGAGAAATAAAGGGATGAGTGTATGAAACAAGTCCAGATGTGTTGTACAGTAGCTTAGCAGGTGATCAGAGGGGTGTCGAGATGTGGCCCCTCTCCTGGACCTGAGTTTAATTATTCATTGCTTTGACCTTCAATTTCTTAAACTGATGTTTTAGTTCATTTGGATGGTTAAAGTATGATATAAATTCCTACATTTCTGTGTGAATATATACATTTATTGGGCAATATGACTGAAGAACAATAACTAAGATCTACATTGTTTGACCATATTGACTATTCAAATACAGATTGCGTGCATTAACAAACATTTATTTTAAATTCAAATATAGCAATTTTTCAAGCAATTGTTCCTACTCCTGTGCAGATGAAGGTGCTGGACCTCCTGAGTGAGCAGAGAGCCGCAGCAGAGAGGAGGAGGACGGGGTTCAGGATCGAGCAGAGAGCCGCCCAGGGCCGGGAGGAGGCCCTCATGACACAGGTTCATGACGGATCCCTTCCTTTGAAGGGAACATTTATTTTATGTTTACATCTGTGACCTTCTGAGCTGGAATAAGATTCAACGTTTTTTATTGTCATATGCACAATATATAATTCGTAGATTTTGGCAAAGAAAGTCTCAAGTCCCAGGCTGCTCTAACAATGTAACAATACAATATAGTTAGAAAACATAGAATAGAAGAAAAAAGTGCAATTGATACAATAATGAAAGGAAAATGCAGCAATATCTATACTATGTTCATCTCAAATATTATAAGATAAAACTACATAAATGTAATACTGTACCATGGAAAAACATAATGTTTACTGTAATAATATATAGAATTGTATTCCAAACAGATTTATGTGCTTTAAACAAATGAAGGTGAAGACACACTCTACATAACCTCATACTGATTATAAATAAAAGGTCAATGTTGTTTGACACAACTATGTATCAAATAACTGTAAAAAGAGTCACCTGAGGACTGAAAGTTATCTTTATTATAAGAGAGATGCCAGATTTCACAGAATAATAGTCAGAATTCTCAGAATGTAGAATATGTTCTCCTGCAGGCCGCGGTGAGTCACGAGCTGAAGAGGTGGTGTGTGTCCCAGCTGAAGGACATGGACGCTCCCCTCCCAGCCAGAGGCCAGTACTACCACCTCCTCCCCTCGCAGTCTGTGGAGCAGTGTGTAGCAGACGCTGACCTGGAGTCAGTGCCCCTGCTGTCGGTGCTGTCCGGAGACAGCAGCACGTCCCTGGCTACCTACGTCAACATCCTGCCGTCCAGATCCTCCTTCAGTGTGGGGGGGCCGGAGCCGGACATGGTGGGGGGCAAGACCTACTTTGAAATGAAAGTGGACAGGTCACCAGGTGAGATTCAGAACAGCTTCTTCAAAGCAGTCAATAAAGATTATTTTTGGATTTTCCTGGACGCAAATTTGTGGACACGAAAAAGATTGACTGTAGTAGTAGCACAAATAAAAGAGGCCCTTTTCTGCTATTTCCCTTTCCTGTAGTGGGTTATATAGGTTTGGTGCATGTAAATGGTCTGCAAAGGCACTTTGTTCCCTCCAAAGGGGAGGATGAAAAGAGGTGCTGCAGTACAGGCAATATGAGAAAAATAAAGAGCTTTTTGAACATTAAAGCATGGAGACATGTCTCAGGAGTAGGGATGGGTATTGTTAGGATTTTATCGATACCGATACTGCTTATCGATACCGGTATTTTTCGATACTCTTATCGATACTTTTCAATGCTCAAAATTATAGACATGAATACAAGATGTGAAGATTAAACAACAGTCATTTTATTGTAATTTATTATTGAATGTAACTTTTTCAATGTCATACCAAGCAGGTATGAGTGTGTTTGACAGTGTGTCTCTGGAAGGGGGGCGGTAATTAGGGGCAGTTCATAAATCCATGCAAACATGACCATTATTCAGTTAAAACGAGACGCACCTTCTAAACCGGAAGCTCCGGCCGGCTAACATTATAATCCGTTTATTGCGTTTATTATTTATAATTGTAATGATGGATCATCAGTAATCATTTTAAAGTTACACAGAGACATTGGATTAACTGTTTGTATGCCCTTGAACACAAAACAGCAAAGGTAAGACATAATCATCATCATGGCTACGTAAAGTGAAGTTGTTTTCTTGCTCTTTCCTGGCTGCTAGTTCAGTGAGTTGTGGTCGTACATTGATGAGACTTATGCCAATGGAATCTGTGGAATCTCAGCTTTCATGTGATATGTCGTTTGTGCAGATAACATGACGTAGAAAAGATCGCCAGTTATGTGCTAAAGTTAGCCCTGTTAGCCCCTTTCGCTAAGTGTTGATTTAGACTCTTGGTGTTGGACTTCTGTTCCGTGTAGGTAAAATGGTCAATATCGTCTGTTAGCTGAGTTTTTTCCCGTTAAGTGGGTATGCATCATTAATAGGTTGTTAAATGTTAAGAAGCCTTGAGACGCTGTTTCTTGCAAGATGTTGCGTCTGCCCCCGGGAGTCTCACAATAATAAGAGCGCTGTTAGGAGAGATGACAAGTGGCATTCATAGTGGCCAATCAGAGTGGTACTCAAACCGGATACGTCATACAGGATGAGGGTTCCCAACCAACCAGAATTGTTTAAACTAAGGAAGTAGCATAATTAATATACCGATAGCAGCACCGTTTGTCCAGCGGCTTAACGGTACTGACTTAGTACCGGTTCTCGATACCCATCCATACACAGGAGAGATACTAAATACTAACATGAACCTGAACATGAGCAGAATAGGGCCCCTTTAATATCGACTTAGCCTTCTCCATTACAACTTAAGCTATTTTAAGAAATGGTAATAAATAATTGTGGTGCAGGAAGTAATCATCACAACAAAAAGCAATGGGGTTTTGGATTTTTGCAGAAAATATTTTTAAACTATAGGCCTACTTCAGAGTTATAATCTCCACATAATAAAGTACTTTTAATGATTTTTGATGCTTAAGTGGAATATCCAGAAGTAAAAAAAGAACACTAGGCCATAACATGTTACATCATTGTCACATTGCTACCAATCATACCGCTAAGCTAAAGGCGGCTAATGTTCAGGGTGATGATGTTAAGTAGTCTCATTTCAACCCAGTCTCACAGCATTTCGTGTTATAGTCACGACATTTAATCTATTGATTAACGATTTTCCCCTTTTTTTCGTGTCACACAGAACGATTATAAAAGCAATGTATTTCTATTGGTAGTATGTTTCATGCCTGCAGCATGTATTTTTGTCAGTTCGGGGCTTGGAAGACCGGAAGCTGTGTGGTTCATAAAAACATGTTCTTACTCAATATCAAGCCACGATTATTGTTTTTATTTTAAATCGTATAATGTCTGACTTTTTTTGTCATCTGTGAGGAAAAGAAATGGGGCTCAGAGCCTCAGAATACTGAAATCTGTATTTTTTAAATCTTTTTTTCCTTCTAATTTGTTATTCTTTTCTAAATAACACACTGTTATTTACTCAACAATAACACACAATTATCCTTGTTTTTATTTATTTGTTTAATTCTATAATCTTGGTCTTTTTTGGCGTCCGTCAGGAACTGAATTTCAAAATAAAAAAAACGGAAACAGACGTAGTGTTATACATTGATCGTTTTTCTCGCGTCCAGGAGAGAAACTTTAAAAGGAGACTAATTGAGTCTCTGAGAAGGTTCAAAAGGTTACTTTAATTAAAAATATGGCGCGGTAATGTTACAAACAGGATATTGTTCAGTCAGGAGAGAAAGGCTGCAGCTTCCTCTCCCAGTCGTGGCCGTGCAGAAGAGAGCTCACAAGCCTTCATCTTTCCCGCTTGCTGGCTGTTCGCTCCTCCTCTCTGTGAGCTGTAGTGACGTAGGAGACTTCCCCCCTCGTTCGTCTGTGTCCGATATCGCGTTAAACAGAGGATTTCGACATTTTACATTCATTGCTTACTTCCACATGCCTTTTCTCCTCCTTATCTCTTTCATAACTTTATATGTAATACATGTTAACGGCGTCAATAGCCACTTTAATGATACTAATGGACACTAAGAAATGACGTAAGCTCCATGATCAAAACTGCCAAAAAGAGTTTCATCAATGTCAAAACTGAGGAAAACAAAAATAAACCCCCGTGAACTTTGGAAATTACTCAATAACCAGCTTGGCTGCAGTAAAAAACTCAAAACGAGAGTCCATTCTCTTCGGTTCGAAACATAATCTCAGCAAATCCGACGACTTCTCAGTTGCAGTGGGTGACATTATTGTCACAAGTAAGAAGGAAATTACATACCTAGGATCTATTCTTGAGGCAAACCTCTTCTGTGACAAAATGGCATCCAATGTAATACAAAAAGTCAATCAAAGAACTAGATTCCTATACCGGATCTCCTCTCTGGTAAACAAAAACACCCTGAAAACTCTGGCAGGAGCACTCAATCAAGGGTACTATGACTATGCGTGCACGTCATGGTACCATAGCACCTCCAAGGCGCTAAAAATAAAACTTCAAACATCGCAAAATAAACTGGTCAGACTACTGCTTGACCTTTCATCTAGAACCCACCTCATCTCTGCCCACTTTGAGTAGACGACAGAGTACAGCTACTTGCAATGGGCCTGGTCTAAAAGATCCACTACACCTCTATGCTACCCATGTACATGTCAAAATTCTTCCCAAAGGTCAAGGAATACCATGATCATAACACCAGAGGGAGCTCCACAAATCATTTGAAACCCAGATTTGGCACAAAAAAGGGGGAATACACGTTTCGCAATTATGCCACATCAAGGTGGAACGCTCTTCCCACAACTGTAAAGGAAAGTAAAACTATACTTACCTTCAAAACCTCTCTTAAGGTTTTTTTTTTCACGACACTGTGTCTCAGGGTATCTTAATATTTAAAAACCTATTAATGTGTTATACCAGATTAACGAGAAGAATCTCAGCTAACTGACTATATGAACCATTTTCTAAGAAGCGTTAGCATTAGCCTTTAGCTAAAACGGGCAGATGCTACTTCCGGTGCTAACTAGCAAAAACGATCTTTAAAACTTAATATTTTCTGCACAAACTACATATCTTCTGAAAGCTGATACTCCACAGATTATTTAGTTATAAGTATCATCACTGTAGGACACAAACTCACTGAAATATCAGCCAGAACAGAGAAGAAAAAAAACAACTGTTTTCAAAACCATAACAATAATTATGTCTTACCGTTGCTGTTTTGTGATCAAAGCTCGTGTTCAAGGGAATAAAAACGCTGTTTAAGGTTAATCCAATGTCTATTAGTCACTTTAGAATTGTTCCTGATAATCTATCATTACATTCATGGCAGCAGAGTAGGTAAAAAGTTTCGCAGTCCCGAGCTAATGCTGTCTCACGTGCTGTTTACGCAAACCTCTCTCTACTTGACGTAAGTGTTTAGCGGGACTTACTAACTGTCACTCGATTCTATTGGCTCTAACGGTTCAGAAAAGGTGTCAATCACCCAAATCGACCAATGGGTTCCAAATATATGATCCTGCGTAGTATAAACTACGCCCGCTCCGGCTTCATTACGCATTACGCAGCCAGAAGGGAGAGCTTCACCACCGAGCAGGTGCTAGAGATGCTAGCTGACGATAGCTCATACCAGATGACTCGTCGTCGGATGATGAAGATCTCCTCCAGCCAGACCTGGATCCGGACAGTAGTGACTCGGATGTTGAACTTCCACCACGGGAAAGGAATGTAATCTCTCTGTTTTTATATATTACTTATGTGTTTGGTGGAACTGCGTCACAGTGCTAGCTTAGCCAAGAAGCTACAGGAATGATTAGGCAAAATGCTAAATAGTGTTACTTGTCTTTTTGGAGTTACATTTTCTAAATGAATGGCCAGTGAATGAATATGTACATGTGTTTACTTATTTATTTGGTGTAATATTATTCATTTATAGTCCAATATTATCCTTTTTATATATTACTTTTGTGTTTGGTGGAACTGCATCACAGTGCTAGCTTAGCCAAGAAGCTACAGGAATGATTAGGCAAAATGCTAAATAGTGTTACTTGTCTTTTTGGAGTTACATGTTCTAAATGAATGGCCAGTGAATGAATATATACATGTGTTTACTTGTTTATTTGGTGTAATATTATTCATTTATAGTCCAATATTATCCTATAAGTATAAGCCAGTGAATTAATCTAATCTCTTTGTTTTTCCACATTTGTTAGATGAGGAGTGACCCCAGCAGGACAAAGCCACACACCCAGAAGACTTTCAGGGAGCAGCTTGCTGCAGAATTGTTGGAGTTTGCTGAAGGCCCTGCTGAAGGCCCTGCACCTCCACCACCCCCTCCTCCACCACTCACATGCATGTCCGAGTATTATGGGGAAGATGCCACCAAGGTCAGGAAGAACTGCAGGAGGTGCCTAGATGCTGGACTCAAAAGCGTGAAGACACCTGTGTACTGCAGGAAGTGCCAGGTCCCTCTGTGCTTCACTGTCAAAAAGAACTGTTTCAGGGAGTGGCACGACCTAAATACTGGAACATTCAGGTAGGTATAAAGTTCAGGTAGGTATAACGTTTTGCGAGTGTTTATTTAAAAAAAAATACTTATACTTAAATATTTGTTGTTTTTACAAACCTACAGTGTGGTTTTATTGTAAAATTGGTAAAATGTTTGTTTTTACATGCCTATAGTGTGTTGGTAAAATGTTTGAAATAAATCTGCCCCAGTTGGAGTCAAATGTTACCTATGTTTCTGGTTTTTTTTATTGTGCAAGTACACCTACACACAATGACCTACAGTGTGGTTTTATTGTATAGTGCGTTGGTACAGTTACATACACACAGCTACACTTACACATACACACCTATACATACCCACACAGCTACACACACCTACACATACAGTACCCACACAGCTACACTTACACATACACACTTACACACACACACACACACACACACACCTACACTTACACACACCTAGTACACACACTCACACAAAAATATATTTAAAAAAAATTTATTTAAAAAAATATATATATATATATTTTTTTTTTTTTTTTTTTGGGTGGAATGAATACCTATAGTGATTATTCAATGTAATACAATGATTTGTATAGTCTGGTACCTGAAAAAGGTCAAATGGCACTGATGGAACCAAATGTGCCCAAAGCTTATTCCGCCTGGACTTTATTTTCATAAACCTCTCTAAAAAGGGCAAATGTCACTTGTTTTGCCTCAATCTTGATACAGGGTACTTATTATATGTTATACTTTGGATTATTAAAGCTTTTAGGCTACTAACCCATCATTCAAGGTTGGTCTTCACTATAAGTAATGGGTTTTCTTTAGGCGGAGACAGGAATTTACATGTTTTTGCTATGTTCCATCTGAATTTACTCTGACACAGAAAAATCTATATTGATTCTGACACTTCTACATCCAACTCACAGATGTAACCTTGCTTTGATAAGAACAATTATTCATATAAACCTTTTAGAAGTGAAGTTATAGTCATTTGTTCTGGGAATGTCATTTTCGAGCCTGAAACCTGAAAAACAGGCTCGGGGTTTAACAGGTTAAAGAGCACCTTCGGGGGAGAGCATTGCAAAACTGGCCCCGGTAATGGTACAAATCTCAACCTGTCGTTCAATGGACAGCTTCCCCCCCCATCTATGTATATACTCGCATTTTAGACTCTGTTACTAACTGTATATCTGTAGACTTGGTATGTCTTAAATGTCCGGTTAGGATGTATTAGAACGAAATCTAAAATGAAAATTGTAAATAAGCAATCTGTATGTAAAAAACCACCTGTATGTAAATTGTAAATAAGCCATCTGTATGTCAAATATGTCTTATATGTCTTAAATGATATGATGAATTGGAAATGGGGGACCCTGATGTAAACAAGACGAAAGTCTTTCTCTGGTCTGCATCCCCTTAACAATTGTATGTTTTGAGCTGTACTGTACCCAATATACAAGCTGTTAATAATCTTTTCAATCAATTAAATCAATCAAGTCTCCTTTTAAAGTTTCTCTCCTGGACGCGAGAATAACGATCAATGTATAACAGTAGGCCTATAATGGACATTTCGATAGGAAATGGAAGATGTTGTTTAATTGCTGATATATTTATGATCCACGTCACATATTCAGTTTCGGTGGCAGTTCTTCCAGTTTGTCCAGAAGTCTTCTCATCAGGGCTCTATAAATAAATAACTACGGCAGATGTGTAATAATTAATGCAGCCGAACCGTGTATTACAATGCCGTTATGTGATGACTTTCAAAGAGAAAAGCAAGAACACTCGGAATAAAGTATTTTCTTTTTTTTTTTAAATGTTTTTCGGATTTCACTGGGTTGCTCATTTAGCCACTTGTTAGCAACCGCTGTTTTTATGACATATAGAAGCTTCCGACATTCACCAGTGGGATATTTACTGATGTATTTTATGCTGTACAACAAAATATGAAAGTTGATCAGAGAACTTATTTGAGGCATGTAACCAAAAACACTTTTAAAAAAACACTGACTTTGAGACGAGGGAACAGAAGGTGGTCAGATCTTTAGTACCTAAACTACTGTATGAGAGCTTTCCATTTGCATTCCGCAGTGGTGAGCCGTGACCTTTATATCTAGGCCCTCTGAACTCGAAAAAAAATAAAAAAATAAGAGTTATTACGTCACAGCGTATACTTCAGCGGAATATCAAAACAGCGGCCCGGGGTGCAAAAATGCATCAATGACAGCGACCCTCTACCACAGTGGTTCCCAAACGGTGTGCCGCGGCACACTGGTGTGCCGTGAGGCAAGTCCGGGTGTGCCGTGGGATTTTGTGACAACCATACGTTATTATTGCAATACACAACTACACAAAAAATAATTATTTTTTAATTTACTATATCAGTACTTTGTAGGTTTATATGTACGTAATCTGCGCGACTTGCGCATCCACATCTCCACGTGCAGTGCTGCATAAACATGGCTGAGTCAGCGATAACTTTCGAGGGGTGGAGGTATGCCCATTATTTTTGAGTTCGTCCGAAGAATAGACAGGAATGTGACGGTGAGGTGCAAACTGTGTCCAGGCCAGAAGCTGTTATCCACTGCTGGAAACACCACGTGGTCAAACCTCAACAAGCACCTGCAAAGAACACATGCTAAGGTGAAGCTACCGCACACGCTATTTGTTGTTTGTTTATATCACGGTCTGTTCTTCTTCTCTGTCTTCCGGTTGTTGCCTGTTTTGAATGACAAATACACACTACCGCCGCCTGCTGGTAAGGAAAGTTATTGCCACTCACGCATGCGCAGTTCGTACGTGCTCGGCGAGTAAAGTAACTTTATGTAGATAGTAACGAAGTAGTGTAATATATAACTTTTTTTTTTTTAAAGTAATATGTAATATATTACATTTTTTTAGTAATGACCCCATCTCTGGAGTTGGCGTTCTCTACTATGAAGAACAACAGGAGGTCACGGCTCTGTTGAACAGGACTTGCGAGTGGCCCTCTCCTCAGTGCCACCAAGGATTAAAACATTCTGCGCGCCCCGACAGGCACATGTATCTCACTCATTTGTAAGTCGGCAAAATATTTACAATAGCACATGTTTCAATGCTGATTGCTGAAATGTTACATTTATAATTTGTAGTTCAGGACCATGGATAATGCAGCTTCCTTGCATTGACAGTTCTCTATGCTGAATTTCCTTTGCCTCATTTTTTATTTTGTGACCTGTCTGGTTTAAATGAGTGTGTTGCTGCTTTGATGAAGCCTAATTTGATAAAGTTTCAAATTAATTTCTGAAATATTTCGTTAATAAATATTTCATGAGTAATATAGTTGTCTTTGTCACATTTTATTTGGCATTAGTAAATAATTATGCACATTTACAGATATTTTACATGATATGAGTGATAACACGTGTTATAAGGGCTATTTTGCACAATAGGTGTGGCTTGAGATTTTTACTTGTCCTTTGGTGTGCCTTGGGCACAAAAAGTTTGGGAACCACTGCTCTACCACACAAAACAACACCATTTATATAAACACATATCATGACAGGGCACCCACAGCCAAGTAACAATTACAAATGAATTAAGTTGGCACGGCGGCCCACATTGAAAATGACTTAGGCCTACCTTTGATGATCAAATCACTTAAACACAAAGTCCATCCTCCTGTCCTTTTGGATGAAGCACTTGATGGCGGGGTCATGCAGCTGATCCTTTGCTTTTAAAGCAATCAGCAATTCTTTCTCAATAGAAATTAAGGCCAAGTCTGACAGTCAGACTTGCCAAGTCGTGGTCCTCAAGTAGCTTTTTATGCGCTTCAGCGCAGAGAATGACCTCTCCACAGAGGCAGTGGACACAGGTATTGTCAAGATGATGCATGTGAAGGTGGACACTTGTTTCATGCTTTCACTTTTTGAGGAGAAACTGATGAATGTCGGCTGGGCTTTTCAGTCAGACATGCCGTAGATCACGGTGAGTTCCGTGTGCAGTAGAGGCTGGCCGAAATATCCGCCATAGCTCTTCATCAAACTTTTCAAGGCAGCAGTTGGGAAATAGTCACGGTAATACCCGAACTGTTGCCGTTCCAGAAGGGCCAGGAATTCAAGCTTTTTGTGGTCACTGAAGCGGTTGGCAATCTGGGTTAGCAGGCTGTCAATTACGCTGCAGTGGAGCTCCATGTACCGTGCGCAAACGTCTCCTTGAGCTCCACGGCCGCGCGGTGGGCCAACCAAAGCCTGGGTTTCATCGTAGACCCTGTCAAAGTTCTCCTGTTCAATTGTTCACTGTAGCTCATCCACTCATATCAAAACATTTGTTTTTGATATGCTTGTTTGATATAACAAAGTAAATATTTGAAAAAATATATTACATGTGTCTTTTTATTTTTTTAGAATAACTTAGGCCCCCAGAGAGGGCCTAGAGGGCCCTGACGGCTAGCCACTGGTATACCGTGGTTATGCTGTGTCTGATGGATGATTTATATGTCTCTCCCCCCACCTGTCATCAGATGACTACGAGAACACCACCCTGTTCCCTCTGCCTGCTAGCAGCAGCTCCGGGCTCCTGCTGGCCTCTGGAGACCCCCTGTGGCAGCTGCCAGGGGGGCCGGACAGTCCCATCACAGCAGTGGTGCCCATGTGTGGGGGGGGCTTCTCAAGCAGCACCAGCCAGTCCAGCCTCAGCACCCCGGCCCCTCCCCTGACCCAGCACCAGCTCTACAACACACACTTTGCAGAGGTGTGTGTGCAGAGGAGGGCGGGGGTCCCCACTGAGAGCACCACCACCCTGGAGTTCTTCTTCGACCGGCCTCCTGAGCCCACCTTCACTCAGGAGAGGAACAGTCAGCATGCCATGGAGGTGAGTGGAGGAGGAACTGTTAACAGGTTTAGACTGGACCTGTCAATTAAGCACACTCCAAAACCTGATTTCCATTTAGCTTTGCAGGCCGAATGTAAAAAAAGAATGAAAATACAGAATGTCCTTTTTATTTTCAATCCTTTAACACCACGGCAGACACCAGTATTCACATTCTGTACATCACAGACTGTACAATTCATCGTTGCTTTTACTATAATAAACCCACACTCAACTCTGGAGAGACACTTCTTATTCAAAGTGTGCAGACAGTGTAGAAAAGTAACAATGTGGTCTTGTTTTCTATGAAGCATCTTATTGCGACAGCTGCGGGGCCTATAACCCTTACAAATAATGTTGGCTTCTTTTCAACCCCAGTAAAGTGGTCCTTTAAAGGTCCCCTATTATGCAAAGTGCACTTTTTGATGGCTTTTATTCATAAATATGTGTCCCTGGTGTGTAAGGAGACTCACAAGTGTCAGAAAATAAAACCCTCTCTCTTTTCCTCCTTACCCACATCTCTAAAAACAACGGAGCTGATCCAGATTTGCTGCGTCATGACGACATTACTAAAATGTGGGCTGGCTTTAAGCCCACGGCCCTATCAGAAACATCGCTGTATCAGAAACAATGCCCAACGTGTTTTGGAAGTAATATGGTCTGTGTTTACATTAGCAAGCATCGCTAACACTCAGAGCTAACGCTAGAGAGTACGTGTAAAGAAGCAGAAATATAAAAAGGAACTCACCTTATGGTAAACCCGCGAGAGAGAAAGAGTTTGAGCTCCATACTGTTTCAGAAATAATCCTTGATGTGGTTTGGAACATAATATGGCCTTTAATCACATCAGCATTTAGCTGAGAATCTGGGTAGAAACCTCTCTCTTCACAGAGGAGAGCTCATGCATTAGTGATGTGTCAGTCGCGAGCCGATTCTTTTGAACGGCTCTTTAGTATGAACGAGGGGAACCGAGTCGTACTTGGTGAGAGCCGTTCTTTTTATCGTTCAATCGTTGGTCCGCACTCACTGCCAGCCAAAATCCACTCGCCTTTTAAAAAGCTTGATTTTATTCCCCAAACGTATTCTGTGAAAACACCCCCCCCCCCTCCTCTGATTGGTAGGTTTCAGCACGAGGAGTGAGATGGGGTGGGTCTTAAGGGAATACGCGCGAGAGAGAAGTCATAACAAGTGGTACAGGACAGGTAGACAACGTGTTCTTCGGATGGAAAATGAGCCAAACGCAGCAGCATTTGGATGCACTTCAACCAAAACCCAGGCAGTGATAAAGCACACCATTTGTAAAGGCAGAATATCCTTTAAAGCAGCGTCAACAAATAATCTCCATCGCCACTTAAATACACAGTAGCCTATCTAATATTAAGAGTTGCGTGAATTTCATTCAAGGCAAGGCAACTTTATTTACTTAACACATAGGCCTACAGAGGGTAAATTCAAAGTAGTACATTCACTGACATGAATGACATGGATATGGCGCCACCTTGTGTCATGTTTACAATGCAGATTATTGACATTAGGTCTGGCAATACAGTCAATCATTATCCTGGTGATTATTTCGCAGATAAACCTAGTAACCCCGCCCCCTCTAAAAAAACGGCTCTTTGAAAGGAACGGAGCCATAAGATCCGGCTCCCTTCAGAGAGCCATAATTCCCATCACTATCATGCATGCTCCAAAGGGGTGTGGCCAGCAACAGCTCGGAAACATTTAAAGGGCCAGACCCAGAATCAGCACTTCTCTATTAGGGCTGAAATAGAGGGTTATGAGGCTACAATTGGTCATCTGTTTGGTATTTTGAGCAAAACTATTCATAGAGATGTTATTTATATATCGGAGTCCTATAATATATGCCTAAAAATAGTATAATAGGAGACCTTTAATAAACACTAAAAAACAAACAGATGTATACCTTTTTTTAATATCGTGCTTTGTTTACCTGAGGAATCTTGGCTGGACGCACAACTTCCGTTACACAGCCGAGAATTGCCCAGTGTTCCACAATCCATGTTTTGACAATCCAGGTAACCATAGTGCACTGCATTTTGCATTTCTTCAAATTGGGGCACATTTTTTAACACAAAAAAAGCAAATATAAGTAGAGAAGTACACAAATTGAAAAACAGCACAGCTCTGCACTTTGCTGAACAAAGAGTGGGTGATTTGGGAAAAGGACAATAGTCAAGAAGGCCCAAGCAGGGCGGGGGATGTGCAAAGCTAGGCTAACTGCCTCCTGTCTCTGTACATGACTCATTTAACTGATATCAGTATTTTCATTGCATTCTCAGAAAAAATATATATTACTATTTTCCCAAAATGACAAACTATCCCTTTTTCGAACGTAGTCACCTGAGCAAAACAATTCAGAATTCACCCTGATCCTGAACCTCAAACCACTTTAAGCATGTTGTTCCTGTCAGGTGACTCAGCGGTTCTTTGAGACGGTGTCGGTTCAGTTGGAGCGCTGGTACGAGAGGAAGGTGGCGCAGGTGGAGCAGCAGACGGAGCTCTCAGCTCGGCAGGACAAGAGGGAGCTGCTGCAGAGAATAAACGCCCTGGAGGAGGAGCTAGAGAGGCTGAAGACCAACGAGAACGCAGACAGCTGATGCGCCCTGACACCGACCAATGGACGATTGGATGAACTGCTGTACTTTGGTTGAACATTGAAAAACCCAGCTACAACTTCAACAGGAAAAGTAGAAAATAAAAAATAAATAATGTATAAGGTTAATGTAAATAATAAGTAAATAGATCCAAGGATTTATACTGTATTCAACTAACTGATAAAAGTACAAAAGGAGGCTTTTGACTCACTGTCCAATTGCCATCCATGACCCCCCCCCCCCCACCCACCAGAGGATATCTGCAGCTGGCGCTCCGATGGTCGGTTCCTTCCTACTGTAGACACACCCACAGGAGCAATGGGGTTAGGTATCTGGTCCAAGGACACTTCAACATGTTGACTGCAGGGTCTGGGGATCAGACCACCCCCCCTCTGATTGACTAACATGGAGCTTGGTTGGGTTCCCACTCCCTGGGGGAATCCCTTCCCTTTATTTGTGGGCCCCTGGCCATTGGACAAGTGCCCACCCAAATATAAATATTAAGACAGTTTCACTTTTTTCCTATTTAATTATTGTATAAATGTGTGTTTTAAATTGCATATGGATGGATATAAACTGAGGGTGGCAGTTTTAGAGTTGCTTTTGAGTCAAGTTCACTCATTAATGTGTTAAGACTTTGAGTTTCACTACTAGCTGGATGGCAGATGTAATGTTTTTCATATTTATGTATAGTTTAGTCAAGTTTGTTTACCCCTATAGTTCTTTATCATAATACTTCACTGCAAGTTACATAAGGTTGGAGACCACCAGAGATGGGGTCGTTACTAAAAAAAAGCAATATATTACATATTACATTAAAAAAAAAGCAATATATTACACTACTTCGTTACTCTCTACATAAAGTAACTCGTTACTTTACTCGTTACTTTACTCGCAGGGCCGGCCCGCCCCTCCCTACAGGCAGATCACGCAGACTGCTAAAGTTTCAAATGTTCTCTTTAGTTCAGTTTCCATTGTCGCATAAGACTGATCCAGATAGCTCCTGAATGTTTTCCTATCTGACCATGGCTGTTCTCTGTCTCCTGCTATCTGTAGATTTTGCGCAGTCTATCTCTGCTCACGCTGTTGCGTCGGCGTGTTCTCCTGCGTGTTGGTCATGTGTTGCACTGGAACCAGACTGGAACACACCGCCAAGACTTCAGCCGAGCACGTACGAACTGCGCATGCGTGAGTGGCAATAACTCTCCTTACCAGCAGGCGGCGGTAGTGTGTATTCGTCATTCAAAACAGGCAACAACCGGAAAACAGAGAAGAAGAACAGACTACGTGATATAAACAAACAACAAATAGCTGTGCGTTAGCTTCACCTTAGCATGTGTTCTTTGCAGGTGTTTGTTGAGGTTTGATTATGACTGATTTTAGTAAGTAACGAAGTAACGCGTGTCGGGGTAATGTTAGTAACTGTAGTGTGATTACTGAATTATAAAAGTAGCGCATTACACTACTCTGTTACCGACAAAAGTAATATTATTACAGTAATGCTGCGTTCACACCGGACGCGATGCGATGTTTGGGGGCGGCGCGATTACATGTAAAGTCAATGCAGAGACGCGGATAGACGCGAATTTGCTCCGACGGCGAGTGGTGGACGCGGCGCGAATCACGCGATTGAGGCGATTGAACTGTGCCGCGTCAAACGCGAGAGTTCAATTTTTTCAACTCAAGCGTCAAATTCACGTGACGCGTTCTCGCGGAAGCCAATCAGCGGTGAGGATCTCAGCCTGCCGTCACTGACGTTCAACCAGAAAACATCAGCCATTAGCTGTTAGCAGTTAGCACACAGAGATCACAGCTCCTCATATCTGTTCAGAAACTAGACAAAAGTTAAACAAGTACAATCCACAGACTGTCTGTGTCATGGCGAATACAGTCGCTGGTTTATTTATGTCTGTAGGCCGTTGTTATGAGTGTGGAATGAGCATATACAACGTTAGCTTATGCTGCGTTCACACCGGACGCGATTTGAATATTCGCTTCGCTCTAATCGCTCGAGTTTCACCGCGTCTGTCAGCTGTGTTTACTCGCGTCATTCAAACAAGACGCGCTGGCTCGGGAGCTACAACTACAACAAAATTAACATATTTGACCGTAATTAAATTGTAATACACGTTTCTAAATGATGCCGAAGTAACAACATACTGATACCGGTTAGTAAAAACCATGAATTAATGCTTGACAAGTCTGCAGACAAGACGGCAGGCGAAAAACCTTTTTAAAATGCTTGTTTTCTGAATGGAGATTGGATCGACCAGGCTAAGCTAACGTTGTATATGCTCACTCCACACTCATAACAACGGCCTACAGACATAAATAAACCAGCGACTGTATTCGCCATGACACAGACAGTCTGTGGTTTGTACTTGTTTAACTTTTGTCCAGTTTCTGAACAGATATGAGGAGCTGTGATCTCTGTGTGCTAACTGCTAACAGCTAACGGCTGATGTTTTCTGGTTGAACGTCAGTGATGGCAGGCTGAGATCCTCACCGCTGATTGGCTTCCGCGAGAATGCTGTCACATGAATTTGACGCTCGAGTTGAAAAAATTGAACTCTCGCGTTTGACGCGGCACAGTTCAATCGCCTCAATCGCGCCGCGGAATTCGCGTCCACCGCCTCATGCTCGCCGTCCGCGTCTCTGCATTGACTTTACATGTAATCGAACCGCCCCCAAACATCGCATCGCGTCCGGTGTGAACGCAGCATTAGCCTGGTCGACCCAATCTCCATTCAGAAAACAAGCATTCTAAAAGGTTTTTCGCCTGCCGTCTGTCTGCAGACTTGTCAAGCATTAATTCATGGTTTTTACTAACCGGTATCAGTATGTTTTTACTTCGGCATCATTTAGAAACGTGTATTACAATTTAATCACGGTAAATATGTTCATTTTGTTGTAGTTGTAGCTCCCGAGCCAGCGCATCTTGTTTGAATGATGCGAGTAAACACAGCTGGCAGCCGCGGTGAAACTCGAGCGATTACAGCGAAGCGAATATTCGCACCGCGTCCGGTGTGAACGCACCAATAGACTAGAGCGATGCGATAGGAGTGATTAGAGCGGAGCGAATATTCGCATCGCGTCCGGTGTGAACGTAGCATAACGAGTTACTTTGTAACGCGTTACACCCAACTCTGGAGACCACACATGAACAGAACATACAACATTATGCACAATATAGTCTGAGGCTCTTTAAGAACAAGAGTATGTTATTTCATAGTTTATCCAGATGTACATGATGATGATACATTCCATTCAGTCATGTTTCCATTATCCATTTGGAATACCAAAAAAAGGCCACATTATACCGATGCGAATATTTGCTTCGCTCTTATCGCATCGCTCTAAACGCTCGAGTTTCACCGCGGCTGTCAGCTGTGTTTACTCGCATGATTCAAACAAGACGCGCTGGCTTGGGGGCTACAACTACAACAACATTTACATATTTGAATGTGATTTAATTGTAATACATGTTTCAAAATGATGCCGAAGTAACAACATACTGATACTGGTTAGTAAAAACCATGAATTAATGCTTTGACAAGTGTGCAGACAGACGGCAAGCAAAAAACCTTTTAAAATGTGTGTTTTCTGAATGGAGATCGGATCTAAGCTAACGTTATATGCTCCGTATAAATCCAGGCCGTAATATTACCTTTTATTGAAACAGCTAAATAACTTTTATCTGTGAAATGTGCTTCAAACATTATTTATTATTATGTGGATACCTCTTACCTTTTGTTTCGGTCCATGTGTTGTCATTGCTCCACCGTTCTCTGTTTTCATGCTTCCTGTATCTTTAAACTGTCTAAATAATGTAAAATTCCTTTGCATTATACGTAAATAAAGATTGTTGGATCAAGGTTTGATGTCACACACAGTAATTCCATTAAGGAGGGAATTTAATGTACAACAACAAAGCGCAGCATTAGTTTGGTACATAAAATCTAAATTTCTCTTGAAGTAAAAAGTACATTTCCGCTCTGAATGAGTATAATTCAAGTATGAGGTACCATTAAATACTAAATATTCATAGTGACATTACACTGTTACTTGCTAGGTACATGGAGTGCTGCAGTGATGATGTACTATATGTTTGTAGGTCGACCCCAAGGTCAGCTCCCTCAACAAGAACCAATGGGATTTTTCCATTGGGTTTCAGAATATTGCAGAAAATAAGATGTGTATTATACTTATAAGTTTTAAATGCAATGGCCTGAAGTAAATAGCTAACTTTAGGCTATACACCAACTACATTACGTTAGCATGGCTGCGCATCACTTACGCTAAGCTAAAGGCGGCTAATTTCCGGCTTGATTACGGTATACATTCTCTTTTAATCACTTGTTAGCAACCACCTTTACACGTACATCTTCACCAGTAGGGTGTTTATTAAATTATGTTGTAGAACAAAACTTGAAAATCTGTAAGTTTGTGTTATCTGCAGTCCCTATTTTCAGAATCTAACCACAAAATCATTTTAAAAACATTGACCTGACCCCGAAGGTGCTACAATGGTAACTCATTTCCTGGTTAAGGACTCATTCCTGGGTTGCATTCCAATAGTCCATTTAGCTTAGGAACCTTCCTAACGGAGTGAAATGACCCGGAAGTACGTCACTGACAGCCATGTTAAGTGCCGTTCCAATTCTCCAAATGAAAGGCAAGGAGGTTTCAAACTTCCTTTATAACCTCCTTTAGCTTAGGAACCACTGGACCTCCCTTGACGAAAGGAGAGGAGAAAATGCTGCCCCACAATGCATTGCAGCCGCAGCATTTGCCGTCACTCAACAGTCGGCCGTCCAGGAAAACAACCGATTATGACGGAGAAATTATATCATGAAAGTTACGGTGCTTATTAAGCATTTTAAAACGTATGTGGTAAGTTGCCAAAGTGCTTTGTTCTGAACGTTCATCAGTATTATAATCAAAAAGAGAAATATGAACGTTAGTTTTTACTGAAATGATCAAATAAAGTCTACATCTCACAGTCTTTACTGAGCTGTGTGGGGTTTGTGCAACTTTTAAAATATGTTTGAATGGTGATATACACAGTGATACATGTTAAGGACTAACGTTTATAATAAATACATTTGAATTGATTTTAAGATCTTTTCATAGTTCATACAATCATACGTATTGGGATCATTTGTATAAATGTGGACCGGAGGGAGAGGGTGACGAGCATAAGTTTCACTTTCCTTTTTTATTTCAATTCCAACTTTGGTCATGAAGAATATGTTTCTCTGTTGTCCACGTTCATAAAGCATAAAGCAACAGCTTCAGAGCACGGTGCAGAGTCTCCAGATGAGTTTACAGTAGTCCCTCGTTCTTATTAAACATCCATGTTGTAGTCCGCTGTATAGAAAACTGTAGTTTCCATAGTTTCCCCACAGCAGCAGACGCACATTCATGACGTCCGCTGGCGCATCATAAACACGTTGGATAGTGCAGTTGGATTCTCTAAAGTACCGCGGTCTCTTCTCCTAAGTCCTTTTGAATTCTCCTATCCACTATCCCTTAACCCCGTGACGTTTCACTCAGACGTCAAGGAATAGGAGATAGGGTTAGAATTTAGGAGCTGATTTTTGGATTATCGGAACACTACCCTGGAGTATTCTATTGCGATCACTGATTCAAGACAAACTTGTGGATGAGTTGTGATGTCTGTCAACAAACAGGACAAAGTCCCGCCCTCGCCGCTCAGCTGTCAGTCAGGCGTGTGGGCGGGTCCTGATGGAGCAGAGGCTGGTTGTGTAATCCAATGATCCTGGGGTGACATTTGGCCTCAGCGACCACAGCCGCAGCTTCTGAGGGGAAAAATCAAATCAATGCTGCATTGACTGTCAGAGCGCGATGGAAACCTAATTAAAGGCCCTGCAGGCACAACTGGTCATTTTATGCAGCCAAGCACAGCGCTCTCAAATCAAGCCAGTAATATGTACCATTGCTTTACTCTGTGCACTGAGGGCAAGGGGGGTGGGGTCTGTGGGCCTCCCTGACCAGCATAGTGTCAGCATTCAATATGCTGCAGACAACATGGTATTTCATCATTGTCATTTTAGCATACACAACTGCATTCTGGTATACTGAGATCATTCATATACTGTGGAAAAGTCAATATAATTGATCTACAATGCAAAGCGTGGAGATTGCAGAATAAATCTTCCGCTTTGAGTGAAAAGTTAAAAATAATAGTCCTTCATTAAATGCAGCATTAGGGACCTATAGCTTGTCTTTGTTTGGGAAGTGTAAAACTCAAATTAAAAAAAAGTTATTTGCCTCTATTTTGATTCTGCACTCTATCAGTAGTTTATATTGACACAGGATCAAAGGACTATGTGATTTAACATTGGATTGAAACCTGTTATGGCTGGTATTTAATACTAAACTAAGTAAAGACAACATGTTAAATATTTCAACATTATATTTCAGAAAATCTTTTGTTTTGGATATCGGACCATAATTAAATATAATAATAATACATCGTTTTTAAAATGTTGTATTAAGGGAGATTTGCATGTAAAAACCTCTTAGAAATGGGGCGAAGCCTGCGAGCTACTTCAGGCCGTCAACTCGAGCACTTATGCTGCATTCATACATAACGCCCCCTTGCCACTCTGCAACCAACCAAACAGAGTCTCCTTAATATGCCGCTCTATTTAACCTGCCAGATCTCTCTCCATGCATTGCTTGCTGCTGCTATTGCTGCAGCTACCTCTACGTAACTGCTTGCCTGCCCCACCACCACCCCAGCTTCCACCTGTAGGCTCGGGGTTAGTTATTTGATCATCACTCATCGTGCTATGTATATCTATGGAGTGATGATGCCCGAGCCTAGTCGCCAAACTCAACTATATGCTGCTTCTAATAAACATGTTAAAGGAACACGTGAGTTGTCTGACTGAAATAGTTATAGTTATTAAGCTAAACAACTGTGTTTTACAGCTCTACTGATAGAATTCCTTGACCTAAAGGCCTTAACCTAAAGAAGTGTTGAGTTAGGAGCAAATGCCTCACTGTGACACCCAGGTCTCCCAGCAGATAACCAACACCACTTCCAGTCCGACATCAGGTCTGCTGCCTGATTCTGTTCCCCTGGGATGAACGCTTCAGATGTGTGTGGGACCACAGCAGCCGGTCGAGCGTTTTATCAACGCTTGATGTAAGCTGCTGCCATCATGCTGTCTCTCTCTTACTGAAACATCTGTTTGCCTCACAGCGGACAGCTCCAGACAGTTTATGTGGAGGGACGTAGGTTTATTTTTTCTGATTGTTTTCATGTGGAGCAGTCCCAAGGGGAAAACCAGGAGAAGAACCACGAGAAGGCGCAGCCCCCCCTCTGAGGAGCACAACACATGTTCTGATTAACATTTCCATTCTGGCAGAGCACAGCTTTAGCCTCTGCTCCTAGTACTAGACTCCTGGTGCTAGGATGGGTTAAAAGCAGAGGCCACATGTCACTGTGTGTGCTGTGTGCTCTGCATGGGTGACCATTCATCTCTCCCATTCTATTCTATTCTAGTGGCAGAATCCAGGTAAATTAGAGACTGGATAGTAGGCGGTGCTGAAAGGTTCTGAACGAATGTCACCGTGTGGAGTTCATGTCTACTTTAAGGGGTCCAAAACACTACAGGTGGTCCAGGTATTTAGTTGTTCTGGTACACTCCGGAAAGACAAGCAGAGGAATTGTTCTGTGTCTGATTGTTCCATATAAAAAGACATCTTACTCTTCAGTACATGTCTGGTAATTATTTCATTACATTATATTACATGGCATTTGGCTAACAATTTGATCCAAAGTGACTTACATACACCTGAATACCGTAGACATGCCTACAGGAGGAATGTGGGGTTAAGTCTCCTGCCCATGGACACTTTGACAAGGCCTGCAGAAAGGCCCTCGATGTACGTGGGCGATCTCAGTTTTCTAGGGTTGGAAAATCCTTTCTTCAAATCTTAACATAAACCCATCAGAAACAACTCTTAGAGGGGGACGCCGATACGAAGTCAACTAAAAGATGCTGAGTAGAGTTGAGAGGAGATTTGTGGATGAGTCTCTGTTGGTCCATCACTACAAGTGACACCTAGTCATTTGACCTGTTTTACAAAAGTATTGAGTGCTGCAGCTGAACCTACAAAGGAACACAAAGGTAATATAATCATCATTTTTATTTTATTTTATCACATGAACACTTTAACAATGTCCCTACTTTGTTGGATGAAATCAACATAGCATGGAGGCCAGGCAGTCATATAGCATATATATACACATCTAGAACTGTGTGCAGAGTAGCCGGAAGGATCTGGTCCATTATAAAAACACATTAAATAAATGGTAAGGCCTCCCGGTTGACTCAGTTTCATTTGTATGTGGAGTGCAGGCCCTGTGAGGAACACCAGCCATAAACATCTCTCTGTCAGAGAGGATATTGATGGCACAGGTTGGAGTTGGCACTGCTGGCGTGGGAGAGCGGAGGGGGGTAGGGGACATTGTCCCGTCAGGAGCCGATCAATGGTCACATCCTGTGAACCCTGCATGTAACACGGGAGAGTGCTCGCAGCACCCAGCCAGCATACGCAGGAGACAAAGACCAGCAGAGCAGAGGGATGTGGACTGGAGTCTGGGACCGCGACAAGAGGAACACCAAACACCTCCATGGGGTAGCCATACTGACACACGCAATTCCTGGGATGCTATTATAAACATGACGACGTGCACCAGGAGGCCGAGAGGGAACCCATACCACTGATATGTAAGTGCTGCTGAAGTCAATTCATTAATAGAGTCGTTTGATGTAAAGTAATGCAAGACATTGGTCAGTAAACATCAAGTAAACAGTTTCTGAGATGGCTCAAATTGGCACCTGTACATTCTTTTTAGTATTAATGTTGTTGATGGTACTGGATTATTGACCTGACAGAAGACCGCACTAAGCTCGGTGCATTTCATTTGCACACTCATTGAAGGGTCAATCCACCATGACATCTAACGTGTAAGTTATTTTTAGGGCTGCAGTTACATTTTAAGTTGTGTAAAATGTTTATATCCTCATGTGTTGCAGACGTAATGCATAGAAATTGGACACTGGTAATTGCAAGGACATACTTCACATGAGTACGAGTCCTCTAATGAATTTCTCAAACGTCTTGATCCTATGTTAAAACATGGTGGTTGAAGTTTCAAACACACCTAATCTCAATAAGACAATCTTTGGAGACATGAAGTAAAGTCCATTTGAATGTTGAAACAAACGCTGCAGTTCTACAAACTGGAGTCTAATGTAAACCCTAAATGCAAATCAAACCTTTGCTTGATTATTTCAAATAAAACCCAAATATGTAACCACTAATTCTCAGCAAACGCCATCTTTTGATGCTTCAAAGTCTCCATTTCCGTTAAGAGTGATATTTGTTTACATGGTGTTTTATTCCATAACATTGTTCATAGGATATAGTTGTTACAGGCAGTTCATACGTAACACATAGAGCCACAGTGCCAAGCCATTGACTTTCTGCTTCTCTTTGGTCTGGGGCTCTTTTTTGCGTAGGCTGTGCGACACATGATTGACAGTTATCTCCTTCAGTCAGAGATCAGCATGAGCCTGGCTCCAGCGGATTGGACGTACACTCCACTTGCTCTCTCATTGGAGCTGCTGTTGTGATGTTTGGAAGTTTCAAGGGGAGCTACATCAACTTCTAAACACTGGTCCAGTATGTATCTCAATATATTCTCAGTGTAAAAGCTTTGATTCTGTTGATATGTCAACAAATCCCATGTGCACATTCAAACAAACAATTCCTAATGTTTCACTCACAATAAACAACTGGTTTTTGATTTACTTAGCATTTAAAAGGAAACAATGTATTTGTGAGCTCTTTCAGTCGTCCTTTTTTGAGTTGGAACCAATTAACTTTAGGAATAGTAGTCGTGCATACACAGTTTTACATCTAAAGGAAGCCAAAGGAAATTGGGATCACCTTTTTACATGTCCGATTATCTGACTGCTTCTGTTTCCTGCCCCATTGGATTTGTCTTAGGTTGCTATGTCCCAAGATTTCAGTAATCCTTTTAGCAGCACACCGTTATCAATACCATGAGAGAGCTGATGGCCCATCCATCTTCTCCCGCTTATCCGTGGTCGGGTCGCGGGGGTAGCAGCTGATGGCCCAAGACACAAAAATAAAACTTGTAACCCGTCTTTTTCTCTAGAATTTCCCCTCAGCCTTGTCAGTAGCTCTGCTTTGTGAGGCTGATGTGTTCTGGTATTGTCTCCACAGTTTGAGGACATGTGGCAGTGAAGAGGTGAGAAGCTGACCATGGGTGACTGGAACCTGCTGGGCAGCATCCTAGAAGAGGTCCACATTCATTCCACCATCGTGGGCAAGATCTGGCTCACCATCCTCTTCATCTTCCGCATGCTGATCCTGGGGGCCGCTGCCGAGGACGTTTGGGACGACGAGCAGTCCGAGTTTGTCTGCAACACGGACCAGCCGGGCTGCAAGGCGGTCTGCTACGACCGGGCCTTCCCCATCTCCCTCATCCGATTCTGGGTCCTGCAGGTCATCTTTGTCTCGGCGCCCTCGCTGGTCTACATGGGCCATGCCCTCTACTGCATCCGATCGCTTGAGAAGGAGCGGCACCGCAGGAAGGCCCAGCTGAAGGAGGACCTGGACGAGTTTGAGCTGGATTCGGAGGAACATAGGCGTCTGGAGAGGGAGCTAAGGAAGCTGGACGAGCAGAAGAGGGTGAAGAAGGCTCCTCTCAGAGGCTCTCTGCTGAGAACCTACATCATCCATATCCTAACACGCTCTATGGTGGAGGTGTGCTTCATCCTGGGTCAGTATGTACTCTATGGTGTCCAACTGGAGCCCCTCTATAGGTGCGAGAGGCTGCCGTGCCCTAACAGCGTGGACTGTTACATCTCCAGGCCCACGGAGAAGACCATCTTCATGGTCTTCATGATCGCCATTGCTGGTGTGTCACTTTTCCTCAACCTTCTGGAAATATCCCACCTGGGCATCAGGAAAATCAAACAGACACTGTTTGGAGAGAGGTACACGGAGGAGGACAGTTTTATTTACAGGTCCAAGAAGAAGGCGTCTTTACCGCACCTGTGTGTGACGAGTAATGCGTCGCCTCACAACGGGCCCCTGACTCAGACCTTCAAAGTGATTCCAGAGGCCGACATGAAGCCTCCTTACTACAACAGTGGGCTCAAAGCCAACCACGACACCACGAGACACAACAGCCTGGCCTATGTGGGACACACTCAGACCAACTATATCTGTCCCCAACCCAGGATGCCACCTAGGTCTGGCCAGAACTGTGCAGCCCCTCAAACCCATGGGGGTCAAGAGGTCCACATGGCTATGGTGGACCACCATCCAGCCTGGGCTTCGGCTGGAACCATGGTGGAGGGGAGTGTAACAGGCCTCCTCGGGGACCCTTGTGAGGGAGAACAGACTCACCCCAGCCACCTGGAGGCTCTGCTGTCCGCTAGCACCTTTAGGCCCAGCGCCATCAGAGACCTGGACGGGGACAATCGAAGGGAGTCGATGGCGAGCGAGGGGCTGATCCACAACCCGAGGAAGACCAGCTTCATGATCAGGCCTCCGTCCGAGAGCCTGTCCTCCATCAGTGGCTCCACCAGCCAGTCCTTACATTCCTCAGAGGAGTCCGATGAGCTGGGCTCCCTGCAGGGGGACATGCCCATGATGCCGCCTGCCGGAGGCCGGAGGATGTCAATGGCAAGTAAAGAGCAGAGTGTCTCGTGTCTCATTTAACAGTAGTCAGAAACATCGAAGAGAAGTTCTACAGAGCAGAGGGCTTCTGGTTTTCTGCTCATGCCCCACCAGGGTTTTATCCACCATTTATGTGCTGAGTACAACAGTTGTTACCAGCTGATAGGGCTGCACAGTTATTCAAATTGTATCAAAATATGGTCTAGTGGAATATTGAAATGGCAGGAAACACAATATTTGTTAAAGGGTAAATATGTGTTAAAATATCATTTTGAATGGAGTGTTGTAAAGCTGAAGACAGATCCCAGTTTATAAATTGTATCCCGCAGAAAAATATGTGTTTAGTAGGCTATAGATCCTTTAAAAAAAACCCACCATAATCATTTTATATATTTCTCAATGATATTGAGAACTAGGATTAAAGAATACTGAATATCGTGAATCATATCGCAATTGCAATATCGGACTAACTGAAGTTAGTTATTTGTGCAGCCCTACCAGCTGATATTGTATAATCAAAGAAGCAGGAAGATTACTCACTGGTAGAGTTATGAGGTTGAGCCAACACATCTGGGCGAGACAAATCCAAAGTGTTTAGAGAGAGCAGAAGAGGGTAGAGGTGCTTTGAATGAGACATTCATCTCTGCTGATTTGGATGAAGCCCAGTAGTTACAGACATCAGGAATCAGAACTAAAATAAGTATTACTACATCACATAGATAAACAATGATATCAATTATAAGAGGTGATTAAATACATGTACAAATAAAATGAATGTGAATGTGACACAGCATATCTTCATGAATTTACGATAGAGAAAACACATTAATTAGAACAATTCAGTTGAACGTAATGTTCTCTTGTCTGACTGTGTTCATATGTTCACGATACATTCATGTTCTGTTGATCTGTTGAAACACTCCACCATCCCCAGCTACACCCAGTCTGAACCTGTCCTCCTGTCCTTTCAGAGCATGTTTCTGGATATCTCCTCCATCATGAAGAAGTGAAGCGTGGAGCCTCACATCATGGCGTCGCAGCTGTGTTCCGCAAACTTTATCAGTGGTCCAGCCGGCAGCATGGAGTCATGATGGGGACTAAGCCAGTGGAGTCAGCCATGATGGGACAGCGGACTCAGCGCCGTAGGAACACCAGATTTGGAATCGAAGCACCTTAGAACGTCTACTTGTTGGTAGTAAAAGGAAAGGATTGTGTTTATTTCTAATGTGGATCTTAATGGCTGATCATGGAGCAAACTGCTCAGAGGATCTACTAACTTGTGTAACATGGACGTTATGATCTTTTTCTAACACTTGATTAGAGTCATGTGTATCTGTGTATAGTCATTTATATACGGTCATTTCATGAGAGATGATGATGCTTTGTATTGTATTCACATTAAATGCTTCTTAACAAAACAGCAGTCACAGTGTGAGCAGACATTGAACACAACACCGGAGAATTCTCATGCTTTTTGTTTTATTTCTCAAGAAAAAATGCCTAGACAAAATGCTGTTTTTTCTCTTTAAAACCCTTTTCATATCAAATTAACAAAACATGACATGTTGCACAATATTTACAAATAAATCTAAACAAAACACAACTCATTTTGAACATTCAAAGATAAAAAAGGAAATGAAAAATGCTCAATCTGCAAATAACAGTCATGTTGTAGGTACAGGTAAAAATAAGAACACGTAAAAAATGGCTCACCAAAAATCTACAAATACAATGAAGTAACCACTGTAAAAAGTTAGAAACAACGCCACAGAAACTGTCTACACGGCTATCATATAGTCCGTACCCATACAAAGAGGTATGCTGAAATATCCAGGTAGATAAGTGCTTAGTCTGTTCTACAGAGGTTTAAGAAAACCTCAAAAGTCACAATCTGAGATGTAAGTGGCCCCGATTCTGTAAACAGATTGGATTACATAAGTACTTCCTTTAGTCTGCCACTATGTGTTGTGATTAAAGAAAGCATTTGATTCCAAAATAGTTAAAGGAAATGTCTTCCCTGAAAACCACTGCTCATGGTTTAAATAAATAACTGTGCCAAGATAAGAGCTGCGTTCAAAGACGTATGGAAGCTGGACACTTCTATGAAGATACATGCTAATATAACTGTTCAGAGTAGCAGTCACAAGTTAGTGGACGTGAGTTATATGAAGTCATAGAGATACTGTGTAAACCAGGGGTTCTACATCACCTACCACACATTCACTATGGCAACCATGAATGTATAGAGTAGTCCAGGGACAACGTAAGTCAATTGGATTTTTACATTGGATTTTGGAATATTGCAGAAAATAAGATCTGTGGCCCTGCAGATATTAACACCACTTTATGATTTTTGAAGCGTCAACGCAATCGGCAGAAGTAAAACGCTAACGTTAGGATATAAATAAACTACAACACAGTCACATGACTTAACACCACCACCGCTAAGCTAAAGGCGACTAATGTTTGGCTTAATGACGTTTAGCAGTCTCATTTGGTCACTTGTTAGCAACCGCTGTTATTATGAACAGCGGTTGCTAACATAGAAGCTACCGTCACAAGTGGGCTATTTACTGACATATTTTATGTTGTAGAACAAAATGTGAACATCTCTTTAGCAAGTGTTGGTCACAGACCTTATTTCAAGCATTTACCAAAAACATATTCAAAAAACTTCAAGACGAGGGAACCAGAAGTGCTCAAATGCTAACTGATTTCCGCATTGTAGGACTCTGCACCGCGCTATAGCTTCACATTTCTTTCAAGTTCCATCCTTGCCTGTGTTAGCTAATCTGGTAAATGTAACAGCTTTCATTGCTGTCATTTTCATTTTGTGGCATGCTAATGCAGTTTTAAGTGCAAATTGATCGTAAACTTCAGCATTGCATTACTGCACGATAATAAAGTCTACGATGGATTATCCATACCTTCACTTAACCTTTGTACCATAGCGAAGTGTGGTTCAAACTCCATCAGAAAATGAATAAGAGACAAAGTGTGTGCTTATTGGTTGGCAGTAAGATCACATTTGGAATTTATAGTCAACAGGGCAGACCGAAAAAAACAAAAAAAAACACTGGTATTCTCAGTATTCATATTTTACATCTTTGAAGTGCTGCCTTCTATTTGTTCGATAATAATAAAATAATACATTTAAGGGATGTTCCTTTGTGACACATTAAAGTGACCCTTAGTGGTCAATATTAAATCTTAAGTCAGAAAAAATCATATGAAAATATACAGAAATATAGAATGCAGTCATGAAATCCAGAACCTAGCTGATTATAATGAAGTGGCATTTTCTTTTTATTATTATACGACAATAAATTATAGTTCATTTTACATCTAGCAGTTTTGATTTTAAGATTATTTATTGCTCAAAATGTTGTTTACATTTGTGTGATTATTTTTCATGGCTATATTCTGTCTATATTCATGTTGATAGATATTTTATTTATTGTATTTATATGAACCTTTAGTCACAAAACGGGGCTGATTACTTATTACTCTGCATGACTGGAATGCTTATGAATATTAAAGGAAAAAGAAAAAAAAATGATCACAAGGTTTGACTTCCTGTTAAAAAAGAAAGCTTACCAATGAATAAATAGGGAGTGGACTGTTGCGATGCAGTTTCCATGGAATGAAATCATTTGTTCCCTCGTGATAGTTTGGCCTCTTTAAGGCAAAACATTGTAGCTGCACTGTCAGATGCTTCTTTCTCTCACAACACTATTACATGATGTCAATTTAAGCAAGCTTAATTCCCAGGTCTTATATATCTTTACAAAACAAAAAGGTCATACACAAAATTGTAAACATACTCACACCTCTTGTAAGTTAAAATATTAAACTTAACTAAGAACATGTGAGACTTGTAAATAAAGACTTATTTTCATGAAGAATACAAAAATGAACAACCATTAACAAATCAACTCTAAGAGAGGGAAGCAACCTACATTTACATCTAAGCAATTTCCTCTACACCCGAACCCCCACCCCCCCAACATCAAGAGTCCAAATAAATAAAGTTCACATTGAGGAATAAAATAAAAATGTGAGCAGTGTTCTTCAGTGTACTCTGAGCATCAGCTCATTGTGGGGTTAGCATTGGCTGAAGGGAAACCTTCCTCTGAAGGCAGATTGACTTGTTCATTTCTGATCTGTTAGAGCTGCCATTCTGAGTAATGTAGTTTAGTTCTATTTTTCAAATACAATATTTTACTTATTTTTTAAACTAGGAGTATGGCATCATGGAAATAACAGCTCTTATTTTGAAGGGCCAATAATGAGTGTCTAGTGTACGGAGGAGGATTAAAGCCACATGTCAAATACATATTGAGTATTTTATGTTTCATTTGGAGATTAGAGTCAGAATCTTCGAAGAAATGTCAGAAGTCTAAGAAGTATGGGTAAGTATGGGTACTTTTAAAGATCCAATAACCAAATAAAGTCTTTAAAGTCTGCGATTAAAGTCAGAAATAACATTTTAAATGATGAGTTAAAAGTCAGAAGAACGGTTAACTATAACTCATCGAGCAATAACTCTCTAGGTAGGTAAGGTCTGATAGTAGGTCAGACTATAAGGTCAACATTTAGATTTTTTCCCCCCACAATTCAACATTTAATCTGATATCTGACCTTTTTCTCCAAATTCTGATTGCATTTTAGAAATCTTTATTTAATATGATAATTCTGACTTTAACGTGACATTTCTAATAATTCAAAAATAGTTCTCATAATTTTGATCTTATTCTTAAAATGTTGGCATTATTTCTCAGAGTTCAAAAATGAATCTCAGAACTATGGCTTTAAATAAAAGAAATCTGACTATTTTCCTAGAATTCCAACGAAACTCTCTAAATCTATTTTGGTCAGAACTCAATACACATTGGCCTAAACCTCCTCCGTACTGGTGCAGTGAAATATAACCAGATTGTACTTTGACCTGCTGAAAGTGGTTTCACTGACCCCGCTGCACCAGCCAACCCCCCCACCGAGTGCACTCCCCCAGCCACGTGCCCCACCATCGACGTTTCACCGCTGATGAATTTGGCGTCTCCCTAAATCGATACCGTGCCAGTGTGTTTGTTTGGAGCTCTGAGCCTCACACTCCATGAGGGACACTGATTGGTCAGTGGGAATTGATCATGTTGCTCTGTGTTTGAACAGATTCAGTGTGTTACACCAACACACTGAACCAAATACTTTCATTAGGGGTATTTGTCTTATGTACAATACAAGAACAGTGCAGCTAAATACATCATCACCGTAAGTACAGACACTAAATTCTACTTTAAGACAATACATAAACAAAGAGAGCACTTATGATCCGTCTAGCTGCTGTTCAAAGACCACACCAGGGTGTCCTTTACATTTAGACCACTTCCATTTCCACAGCATATCTGTGTCCTCTCTTTACACACTCTGAAGTATGTTCTCTGTTTTCCAGGGGGCTAATGTTAGCTATATTTCACTTGACCTAATAAATAAAATAGCAATAAAGAAGAAGTTGCATGAGAAAATAAATCCTTACATTGAATATCATGTCTGTTTATATTTTAAGGATTTGTTTTCATTCATTGGTCATTTTAGTTAAGTGTACCAATGTGTAAACATTTCAACCTTTTAAACGTTTGAGATCATTTTAATTTAGCACTTCCTGTCATTATATTGTAATGAATGGAGGAACCAGCACTAAATACATTTATTGTATTCTTTATATTTGTTTCATTGTATGCCTGGCTGTAATTTAAAACTACATTTTGTCTGTTTTGGTCATTAAAACTTATGTTACTACTTAAGTCAAATGAAAATAAATGGTACCATTTGGACTGTATGAAAATGATTTGGAAACCATGAAGCTGCAAAGCGAAGCGTTTGAAACCGCGTATTTAACTTTGACTAGAACCAAAGCAGAAGTACATGAATGATCTAACAAGCTCAAGCTATTTTCAACATTCCTACATGTTGACTGAGCATGACTGAAATAAATCATCTATGCTCAACCCTAACCCTAACCCTAACCCTAGCTGAGGAACACAGGAGCATGCTATGGAAAAGTCAGTGTAAATGTAGTCAGAAACGGTGTGGTCCTTTAATCTATCCGGACCCCCCTGTCTCCTCCTGGAGGGGGGGCAGTGCTTTGTAATGTATTTCTGTCTCTTAGCGCACGTATGAAAGAAGGCAGAAGAGAACTGTGTAAAAACGTCCATCTGAGAAGTCCATGTGAAATTTGACCAAAGAAAGTTTGCATAATGAGAGTCATCTGACCGCGTCATCCAATGAAAATTGTACAAATACACACCTTTGGTAACATTTTACTTTAAAGTCCTGTAACCCTCAACAGTTAAAACACATGTTTATATGTACCAAAGTAAGTATGAAGCGTTGACAGGACTGTAAAGTAAAGTGCGTGTTTAC